GCCGCCGCGCCGCTTGGCCGCCGCAGCGGCGCGTGTTGGCGGCCCCGCTGACTCCTCCTCAACAGCGGTGCGCGCCTTAATGTTGCCGTTGGTGCATGATTTCCCTGGGCCGCTGGATCAGTATTTTTCTTGCACTTCTGCCCCTTCCTGCCGGCCGCCCTTGCGCTTCCGCTTGTGCTGCCTGTAGCCGCCCTCCCAAGTGCTTTGCTTGTCGTGGCTGGTGTCCACTGGCTCGGTCCACGCCTTCTCGCCGCTGTCTTGCTCTTGTTCGCCAGGGCCCCGCAACACCCCGTCCCCTTCGCCTTCACTGTCATGGAACATGTTGAAAGCCTGTGATGGTGGTCTGTTGGATTCGTGCGATTTGTCTTGTTCAGACGTGGGCGTGGCCTTTGTCATGATTGATAGAACTGGTCAAGCCGAATCTTTGTCACCGCTTCACATCCCAACACTCGGGGTCTTCTCTGGCATGATGAAGCACGCACGGAGCAAGGCGTGGCGTGCGGAACACCGCATGAGCTTCACCCAGATGATCCACAATGCGCACGCACGCTCTCTGCACGCACGCATTGCTTACGCCCGCGAGCGCTTTGAGCCCAGCAGGAGGCGAGCGAGATGGCCCAGCCGTGGCTCCAATCTTGAAACTGCCTCAAGCAAATCGAGAACACCTGAGAGATCTCAACTTGTGATGCCCAACTCCTGTCGCAATTCAGCATAAGACAGCAGTCCTTCTCGAGACGCGCGAAGCCCACGTCACCTACTGGTTAAACCTGAGTTACAAATTAGCCAAGCCCATTGGGGAACATTCTATGTTCCCAATTGTTTTGGACCCCAGGTCAGGCCCTCCCGCTCCTTTGTTGCCTTATACTGAATGTAGGCCCGCGCGCCCTCGCCCTTGTTCAATTTACAGCCTTCTCCCACTTTTGGTTCATGCTCTTGCTGGGCACACCTTCCATTGCAGGGGCTTGTGACACTGCAAAGGCGGCGCAGCGCGACATCTCCTACACCGCCCTTAGAACAAAGCAACAAAACACCCGGTTCCCGTAAGTTTCCGTAAGCCGGAGCCCTGGCCATCATCCCTTGATTTCTTCACGACCCCAATATGAAAACTCAGTAAACAAAATGTTTCCCCACATCGGTTTCATACATAAACAATCACACGCCAAGGCACGCGTCCCACCTCAACATGGGCCTTGTCAGGCGTTGGATCACCTTTCCCAGTTTCTTGTTTTTCCAGTACTTGGACAGTTAGATGGTCACCCAAGAGAACACATTTTTAATCAGACAACACAACTTCGCTTCTATCTGTATCTATTAGAAGCACACACGCACACACACTTGTACCGTCCATGTAAAGGCCCTTGACATGAAATGAGCAGTGTAGTCAAACTGACTTTTCACCACACTAAATGGAAAAGTTGCCCCTGATCATTTCGGAACCAGGAGTGTTGATCAACCCCCTCTATTCCAAAGTCCTTTCCAAGTTCCGTTGGGGCCCACCTCAAACATCATGAGCGTTTTTTCTATCATGAAACCATTTGATTGGGTCTAATAATGTGGCGTCCCGGCTTACCTTTTCCAACCCTTTACTACGCAGGACTTGGCGCCTGCAGTGGCCAGCGGCCCAGCGCAGCCAGGCGCGGGCACGGCGAAGGGAATGGGGGGGGAGGGGCTGTCGGGGGGTTTCTGGGAGGGTGCTTTTGTTTAGGGTGAAACATGTTCGAACAAAACCACAAGCGCAATGCGCCCTGTTTAATGGTCCCGTCAAACAACGCTCGAACTTGATTATCTGATTACGAACACACAATATAAATATATATGTATATATACACGCACACTTGCGCGCGCAACAACTATGCATGTGACAAGTTTCTGACAATCGCTTGAAACACAAAAGTCTGTTTGAGAGCGCGTAGAAGTAATTGTCCCAACACTGAGTGTGCCAACTTTGCTTGCTGAGTCAAACCTGTTGCTCTTTGGCAGCCCCAAAAAACGAAGCTTCCGAGAAGTTTGTTGGGAGAAGTGGGTGCATGGCGTATGTGGTGATGACCTTAGAGTACCTTCCCTGGATGATCTCTATATTTAGAGCCCGCTAAGCTCGCCAAATCGGACTTCGTAAGTCTGCCTTGGCATGCTTAAACGTCCACCCCGGCGAACTTAGCTTTGTCCCCCAACTTATGTGCTTGCCATTGCTAACTACTGCGCCCAGTTAGGGCTACGTGACTTATAAGCTTGCAATGTGCTCGTCCCACTTTGCTATCTAGTTGGCGCAAGGCCGCTCAACTTACTAAGTTGCGCCAACATGTTGGCACGCTTAGGCCAACTTCTAACATATGTTGGCAGCGTCGCACGCGCGGAATGACCGCTGCGGCTCATCACGATCGTTCGCTTGCAACAAGACAACGTCTTCTCACACCAGTTAAACATAAAGGTTTAGCCAGTTTATCTAAGCCCGCAAAACGCATGGTGTAACCCTTATAAACCCGCTGCTATTGGCTTCGCCGCAGCCTTAGACTTCGGCCATCGCCGCGTTCCCCTGATCATTCGCGGCCGCGCCAGTCTCTTCGCCGCCGTCGGCTTGCATGTCCGCATGGTGTGGCGCCTTGTCCACGGGGCGCTTCGAAGGGCAAGGCGCCCTCGCAAGCTCCCGAATCCAACCGAAGTGCAAAGTGTCGACGCGCTCAACGTTGACCAGCCATACGGTTTCGCGCGCGTGCCTCCTGACGGGACGCATGAGAAGACGCACACCTTTCGCATCGTACACCAGCCGTCTCAGAAGGATCTTGCCCTTATAACTTGCCAGTCGCAACCTGGTCAACTGCCTCGCAACGATGGGCGCTGCGTGAGCTTTCTTCGCGTGAGTTCTTGCGTGGCGCTCAGCAACCCCTTTTTGTAGCGTAGCCAGTCAGTGTTGCGCGCAGTCTGGCTTGCTTGTGGAACACGCCGCCACGCGACCCACGCGCAGTCTCGGGAGCTAGAGCGGCGCTTTCGCTCACCTGTGTGCTGGGCGCAGGATGCCCTGCCCCGCTCTTAGCCTCAAAAGTTGCCCTGTGAACTTCCAAGATTCTGAGAGCTGAACCTGCAAACTTTGCTGAACCCGACGCTCAACGCGCAAGCGCTGCAGCTTAAGAAGTGATGAGGGGCGCCATCGCATCAACTCGGTGGGACGCAACAGCAGAGGGGAGAGCGAGAGAGAGAGAGAGAGAGAGAGAGAGAGAGAAAGAGAGAGAGAGAGAGAAGAGAGAAGAGAAGAGAGCGAGAGCGAAAGAGAGAGAGAGAGAGAGAAGAGCGAGAGAGATGTAGCAGGTAGAAAGGTTGACACACAGATACATGGATTAGGTTAGTTCAGGCAGGTAGGCAAGTTGACAAGTGGAAAAGACAGACAGGCAAATAGTATGGATGAATAGGCAGGCAGATGGACAGCTAGAAAATAAGCTAAATGAATAGGAAGCGCGCGCACACTCACGCAACGGTAGCTGTGGGCAATTAAGTTGCACTCGGGCTCGTGGGTTTGTCTGGCTTTGGTGTGTGTGGGTGTGTGTGTGTGTGCGTGTGCGTGTGCGTGTGCGTTTGTGTGTGTGGGTGTGTGTGTGTGTGTGTCTGTGTGTGTGTGTGTGCGTGCGTGCGTGCGTGCGTGCGTGCGTGCGTGCGTGCGTGCGTGCGCTTGCGTGTGTGTATGCGCGTGTGTGTGTGGGTGCGTGCGTGCGTGCGTGCGTGCGTGCGTGCGTGCGTGTCTCTTTGTGTGTGTCTGTTTGTTTGTTTGTTTGTTTGTTTGTTTGTTTGTTTGTTTGTTTGTTCGTTTGTTTGTTTGTTTGTTTGTTTGTTTGTTTGAGTGTGTGTGTGTGTGTCTGTGTCTGTGTCTGTGTCTGTCTGTGTGTGTGTTTGTGTGTGTGTGTTTGTGTGTGATTTTTTGTGTGTTTGTGTGTTTGGGCGTTTGTGTGTTTGGGTGTTTGTCTGATTGTGTGTGTGCGTCTGTGTGTGTGTGTGTCTGTGTGTCTGTGTGTGTGTCTGTGTGTCTGTGTGTGTGTCTGTGTGTCTGTGTGTCTGTGTGTCTGTGTGTCTGTGTGTCTGTGTGTCTGCGTGTGTGTTCTTGTGTTTGTTTGCGAGTTAGTTTGTGAGTTTGTGTGCGTGTGCATGCGCGTGTGTGTGTGTGTGCGCGCGTGTTTTGTTTTTGTGTGCTTGCGCGTGTGAGTGTGTGTGTGTGTCTTGTGTCTGTGTTTTGCGCGTGTTGTATTTTGTTCAATCTTTTGTGTGTTTTAATGAGCGCATGTATGTGTTGTTGAATCTGAACTATTAGCTTGTGTGTTTTTCATGTGTCTGTGCATGGGCGTGTTTGTGCGTGTTTCTGTGACTATTTGCTCGCGTGTGTGGCTGTGTTTTCGCACGTCTCCGAGTGTTTGCACGCGGGTTTGTGTGGTGTGTGTGTGTGCGCGTGTTTGTCTTGCACTGGACATCTAGATGCGTCTCTATGTGCGTGATGTTTTCATGCTTTTGCTTGGTTCCTTGTGGCATGCAGTGATGGCACTCTACGCGTGTGGTCCTGGTTTCCTTCATTTGGTTGGGGTCGCTTACCAGGGTGACGTTTCACCAGGGTTGCTTTTGGGAAATGTTCATATTTCACGAGCAATCAGCCGTCCCAGGTTCACGCGTGCGTGGCGTTGCATCAGCGCGCTGAGAAGAACTGATGGTTGGACTGAACATTTTGTAGGCGCAACCGGCGCAGAAACCCAAGTCCAGACCGAAGGGAAAAGCGCAGCAGCAATCAAGATCAATCCAAAACGAGTTCAATGCAAACCCACAAAGCGCATGGAACATGAGGCTACATGAGGCTGCAGGTCGCACGTGATGAGAGTGGTTCTTGGTAGGATGCGGTTTCTTGCACGTAGTTGCGGTCATTCAATTCAATTAATAAGTAGTTCTGGGCTTCTTGGAAAAGTCCAGCAATCGAAACTTGGCGCTAACTGTTGCTTTGATGGCTTGTAGATTGCGAGTTGTGCTCTGAGGCCTGGTGGACGGCAAGCTTGTTCCAGCGGACCGGTGTGAGCCGTCGGCGGGGGCAGGTCTTGGTCGGTGAATTGAGCTGCGGTCTTTTGATCGCAAGGTTGAGCAGGCAAGGGTGGCCGCCGGACTGGATTGGATAGGTTGAAGGGTAGGTGGGTTTCGTTCGTTTGCTTGCTTGGGTCTGGCGCGGCCGGTTTGTTGGTTGATTGCTTGGCTGGGCGGCTAAGTCTTTAACGCCACGAAGAAGCTATTGTCCTTGTTTAGTCCTCTCTACTATGATGTTTCGCCCCAATTTGGATCCCTTCTTTGGTGCCCTGGAAATGCAAAACACCCTGTGCCACAACTACGTTGAATGAACGAACTGTTGTACTTGTTGTGAGACAAGTTGTTCCGCGCCCTTTGGCTGACAAGGTGAACTGCTCGCAATGCCCCCCCCAAGAAAAAACACATATATTTGCGTATTAAGCCAGCTTTCGGACAACCCCAACTTTGAAACCGACCCAAAAACGAATGGGGGGTGATTGCCTTCGGGTTGCTTTGGTCAACTACCGGAGTCTTTAGGGATGTGTTCCCGGATTGGGTCAAATTTATTCTTGTCACCCTGAATTTGCGGGTTGCTAGACCTGGCGCACAGATGTAGCCGAGGCCATTCCGTTCACTTGCGTCCAACATGTCAGTGTCACTTGCAGCTATTTGTTAATTTACCAGCGTAGCCGGCTGGTCCAAATGGACATTTGGGCACAGCGGGGTGCAATTCACTGAGCATCGCAATGCGGGGGATGCCCAAGTCCAGGCGTTCGTTGTTTGGCGCAGGACATGGCACCTCGCATCCCAGTTACAGACGGGTATCCTGGCCGCAAGGCAACTGTTGTCAGAAGGTTTGCTAAGAATGTTGTTCAAGGATTGCATGTGTCCCGTGGTGTGGCGCTGCATGGTAAGCATGTTGACGGTGAAGGCGTTGCCGAGCCGAGGTATGTGAAGGCTGGCAGATATGCCTGAAAGGCTGGACGCCAGAGCTTTCAAGCAACTTTCAACACTGAGTTGATCTCAGCGACACAAAATGGATGGGGAAGGGCCAATAATTCGGGTGTTGTGTGTTGGCAAAAACCGGAGCATGGCTGCCACTCATGATGGAAATGACTGCAAAGAGGTAGATGGTTACCCAATTGTTCTGTGTCAGTTTCTTCGTTTGATGATCCGGCGGTTCTTCACATAAGGAACAAACAAAGCTTGCCTTTTGCTCCCTTGGCCACTGAGCGATTCGAGGTCCCAAACACAGCAACAACAATGTCGTGTGGGAACTCCGAAGATGGCTGCGGCCGCCAATGGGCATGGAAGCATGAGAAGTGGGTCTATTTTGAGTTGATGCCCTGCAGATGGCCACACGGAGTGCGCGTCAATAAGAGCTCCGTTCGGGATGTTTGCTTGAAGGAGTTTAACGTGGTTTCTTATTTGAAGGGGTCCATGTTTGAGGCATTTGCCAAAGTCCCAAACAAGCAAAGGTGTTGATTGCCGTGCGGCTGTTTTCTCCCAATGTCCTTAGCGAAATATCTCGAGCCCATGAAGCTCCCCTGAGAATTCCCCTTTGGTTTCTGACTTGCGCGAATGGCCCGGGATAACCAATTTCTGCCTGCTTTGTTGATTTCCTTGTCCTAGGCACCCTTTCGTGAGCAACCTTGGCGTGCTGTTTGGATTATCTGGAACGCAAAGCTGGCAAAGATCCTAGCACTATTGTTGCCAGTTGTTTGCTAGATGCATCAGAGAATTTGTGTCAACCCCTTCATGCAAAGCAGCAGCGCTGCGCTTACGGTGACAGCGCCCGTTGATGTTTCCCAGCACGTTCACACGAATGCAAACAGTGAAGGCTCGCAAGCGAGCAGGCTTGACAGGCTGCACGTACTGGGTCTACCGTTTCCCCGTAAGTGTATATTATTGTTTATGGCCCCCCAAACATAATTTGTTTCTAGGAAAAATGGTTTACTTAATGTGACCCAGTAGGGTCCGAGGGATTTCCTCATCAGTCCTCGTCCACATGGGGTCCTGCCCTTTGTCAGCCGTCAAAATTGCAATGTGCTAAGAACGGAATTGTCATAACATCGCTCAAGGCATCTTTTGGAGGTCCCCCCCACAAGGGCGCGTGAGGACGGCTGAGAATCATGTTGGTCCAGAGTTGGTTTAGATTGCCTAATTCTATTTTAGGGGTGATTTGTTTATTTCTGAAACTAGTGTGGTCAGAGTAAAGGGTGTTTTACTACTGCCTGCCATGCGATGTTGCCACACTGAGCTGCAATGCGACAGGTACACAAGCTGCTGAGTGGTGACACCATTTTGCGTCACCCATTCTCATACCCAGCTTTTGGAATGCGACGCAGGCCGAGTCGTGCCTCATGCAACTAAGCGGAAAACCAACTGCTTCCGCTTTTTTTGAACGAGAGGGACTTAATGGGATTCAGTGGAAGTCGTTACTGCATCACCGGACTATCCGGTGAACCATGTACTATATCGACAGCCGGATGCAGTTTTTGCGCATTGAGCGCTTCGGCGGAACTGTTATCGGATGGCCTTGGCTGCCAGGGCTTGAAGGGATTGCACGCGCCCCAAACGAGTGTTGCTCAAAATGGGCCCTTTTTCCTGTTGGTTCCAAAACCATCCCACAATTTCAGCAAGGGGTCCACCTTTTTGAGATACCTCCAAATCACAAGCCCGGAAGAGCCTGTCTTAGCCAGTCCCTGATTGTTCATGCATGTGGCCAACTATGGCCAATCAGCACAAGTTGCCTTTGAGCTGCCGACACAAATGTGTCCTGAGTCCTGTGTGAAGGTGGAAAACCGTTTCCGTTTAGTTGTTGAGTCTCGGGTTTCCTGTGTGATTGTGGCATCAGCAGAGTTGCAGGCTTCCACCTTGAGCTGGTGTGACGTGTTCTTGTTTGTTTGCTTGTATCTGTGGTTTAACAATCTACCCCTGCCTTGGCGTGGACGTGTGTTGCCTTAATTTCTTCTGGTTCTTCAAAAAGAAATGACTAGCTGGTATGTTGCTTCCTTCGCAAATCGAATCTAACATGACAGCGTCTTCAGCATGAAATACAACTTAGAGCAAGAAGTGTGGAGAGATCCCGGACGCTTGTTGTGGGTAGATTGAGGACAATGATCGGCCTCGACCATGAATCCTGCTGCAGGCTATCTTGCAGAATTGCTACAACGTTTTCCGTTTGTTGCGGGGACCTTGGCAGCCCGCATCCTGAGACTCTGACAGGAACGCCAGCTACTTTCTAGATGGAAATCGGAAGGCCTGCAGAGGGTTCAGACGTCCAAGCTGGGGGGCAACCCATGCGCCAATCTCACTCCAGCTTCCCGAGGCATGGTGAGATCCAGGAGTTTCTCAAGGCCGGGCTGATGCAAAGCCCGAAGAAGGCTTTGAAGGTTGATTTATGTTTGGTTTCTTTTTTGGAGAGCATCGTCAGACCCTTGTTTGTTAAACCATTTCATCATTCGGCAGCTGCACAGAGAGCTATTGATATGGCAAGTTTAGGCCATTCCCGGCAAGACTTGCCGCCAGTGAGACTGAAAGACATTTGTGTCAGGCGCAGTCTATGCACAAACTCTTCGACTTGCTGGAGGCTTTGCTTGCACGATGTGAGAAGCGTTTTCAGACTTGCATGCAGCCACTGACAGCACGGCATTGCACTCATGACACTGGAAAAGCAATCATTCACTGAGTGTGCTCGCTGCCAAATTAAGATTATGACACTGCACATACGTGTATGTATGAATATGTATGTAAACTGATATGTAGACATCAGCTACTTGTGTCTGGCCTCTAGCTCCTCACCTCTAGCCTTGATTCCGGCAGATGCATGCAGCGCCTTATGCCCAGACCTCTGATGCCAGGTGGTTGCTTCTTGTTTGCCCGATATGTTCCAGCGTTCATGCAGGTCTATTTTAGTGCCTTTGATGCAAACGCATCACCATAAATTGTGTTCATCGCAGCTCATGCAGCTCGACATGAGCAAAGCGTTGTTTGGCCAGTGATTTGTTGATGGACCCGCAGACTCCGCGGGCAAAACGCAGATGTTTGCACTCAGCGCTGGATTCTACAGACAGAGGTCAGCTGGGGACTTCTTAAGGGTTTCCTCTTGGGGTGCCTCTTTGAAGCTTCAGTCCCAGCTCTTCACTTTCCCCGAAGTTTGCTTGAAGAATGCATGAGTCTCGTGAGTTTGCCAGGACTTCGTCCCCGCCTTCCTGGAGACTGTGGCTGGAAGCTCAGCATCCAATCCAGGAGTAAAGGTACTCGTATGGGGACAGTCACAACTAGAAGACTATTCGTGCTTTGCTGCTTTGGTTTGTTTGGGCGGGATCGAGTCTGGAGAATGGAGAAGGTCCCTCTCGATTTATCATCTCCGATCCCAAGTGCGTGCCATTTGGCTTGAAGAAGCACATGTTTTCTGGAGCGGTCTGCGCATCCAAGTATGTACTGGGTTGCTAGATGTTGTTTTTTGGTCGGCGGTCTTAGATGGACAATACAGGGAACCCCACTTGTTTTGTTGGGGAGGTTCTGTTTCAAGACACTCCCGAGTGCAAAATATATTATGCCTGCAAGGTGTCTCTTCAGATCAGTCTACGTGTGAAGCCGACTTGAGAAGCAAAGTTTCTTGATGGAATCATGAATCCCGGACGACTACAACAGTCACACGAAAGAGTTGGCAATCATACATTCAGCCAACTGCCCGGAGTTTGGCTTGAGCAGGGCAAATTGTGCTTTGCTTTTGCTTGCCCGCTGTATTTGAGTAGTGAGCATTTCGAGGTCCATGCGAAGCTGTTCTTCAGAGTTGTTTTCGATGTCTTGTTTTGTTGATTCATTGCTTTGATTCCCTGACATGATTGTACAGCTGTGCACCGCATGCGCAACCTTTCCATCCCTGCGTTTCAAATTTGATCAATGCCAGTTGAGCAGAGAGCTAGAGAGTCAGCGAACATCGAGTGAGGTAGCCAGTGACTTGGGCCTCTTCCAGGAGTTGGATGGCTTCCACTACAGCATGGAGCTCCCAGTTTGCCGCCTTTGGGCTGCTTGTGCCAGGAATGCGGTTGTGAAAGTTGGCCTGTTTGTTTGGGTCGCCCAGACTCATGGTGATGGCAAAGGATCACTGGCACTCCGGCTGCTTTCTCCTGAGATGTCCTGAGAATAGTGGCAGTCTAGGGAACGCAGCAGGATGCTGTGGAGCCGAGGCACGTGCGTTGGTGTGCCCGTACGTTTTGGGTTACATAGATGATAGATGGTCCTTGCTACTCAGCGGCAGGCTCTCGTTGGCCGCACTGTCCCATGATGATCTAGAGGGTGATATGGTGATTACTGGCAATCCTAGTGGCATTGACGTTGAAATCATTCAACACAGCAGGCACCCGCCCACAAAGGATCCTGGTGCTAACGCCTTTTGTGGTGCTATAGTTATGTTGCTCGTTCAACTGGTGGACACATGGTTCAGTTGTATGAATTGTGTTTGATCAGAGCCGCCTTTCGAGGTCCTGTCGAGCGCAACACGTGTGTCTCGATCCACTGCTTCCTGGACAGCTACCGCCCTGCAATCAGGTGAAGCAAGGTCGCACAAATGTGCTGTTGTCAGCCAGCATTGTCGCTTACCCTTTCCTCAGCATTGACGGTTGTTTTGCTAATTAACTGAAACGTGGCCTCTCCCACCCAAAAGCAACAAACAGATGAAGTATACGGGTTTCCATCTTTCTTGTGGGCTAAGGCCGGTGGACAATTCTCTTATATTCAAGAGGGTAGCAGCAAGACATGTATTCAAAAAATAAAGCCCGTTTCAAGTTTCCTAGTTTCCTAGTTTCGCATAAGGTGTTGCAATGAGGGATCAAGCAAAGCTTAAGGTTTCCTAGTTTCGCACAAGTGTCTGACGAGCGAATCGCTCAGACCCTTTCCGCCGGTAGATGGGTTCAGGTGCGCGTCAGGGTTAGGCAACATTGTTTTAAACAAGGAGAGCTCGGGCCGTCTAAAGGAAGACAACGCTGTTTCAAGCATGTTCAAGGGCTTGGCCCCGCCCAGGTGCTTACTTCTAGCTCGTTGGTGCACTGACCCCCCCAGTTTTTGCTTCTTTGTGAACCTGATTGTCATGACGGAGTTGTCTTTTCGGGCAGGTTCTGCCTACAGTTTGCCTTCCATGATTGTTCAGGTGGGGCCTATGTATTGGATAGATGTGCAATTTGTTGAGGGCATTTCCACCTTCGAGCAGGGGCCCGTAAGTAATATGCATAATACTAATATATATATATATATCACTTTCTCATGAGTAGCCGGTACTGTGGTCACTCAATACTATTCTCATTGTGTTAGTTTTGGAATGCATGGGAAAAGACTATTGGAGGGTCGGAGCGAACCTTTCCAGGCAGGATTGTTTAAACCGACCTGTGGCGTTCTAATTCTTGCAGAGTCTTCATGAATGCAAGTCATGTGCGCGTTTCCTACAATAGAGGCCACATATTGTTGCCGTTGGTTTCCTTTTGTGGCTTTATGGCTTCTCTTGAAACAGCAAGGGCGTCGTACCCGTACGAAACACCCAAAACACCGGCGCCACGACGCGACAGGACAAAATCCAGGAGCAGTTCTCCAGCATCCGGCACGCAGCCCTCCTGTACAACGCGCATCTTGTGTACACCAACTTGCCGCTGGACGACATGAGGCGCTGCGACCTACCAGGAACCTATCCGAAGCCAGTCTTGCTGGTTAGACCTATAGCAATTCATAGATTGAAGGTACACTTTTCTTGGTCATCATGCGAACAGCGCATGCCGTTGAACATTCAACAGCTGCATTGATGAGTTTGCCCTATTCGGCTGCATTTCTGGTCGTTTGTCCAAGCCCAATCGCTCTCCAGCAGTGGCTGGGAGCTCCTTCCCAAAACTACACCAATTCGGAGCCATGGGGGAGCACTTTGATCAGCGAGCTTGGTCACTGGGTTCCTGATCCTGGAGGGCATGACTTTTTGTAGCACGTGAAGCCTGACACTCAGCAAGCTTGCCAGCTCGAGCCTCAGAAGTCCGGTTGAAAAGAACGAGTCCTTGTTGGAAGGGATGCCCACGCGGAAGCAACTTCCCGTTTCAGAACTGTGAAAGAGCATGCACGAGCTCAGGGCTCTCTTTGTCAAGGCTTTCAACTTGACATGGCCGCCATGTGAGATTATTGTCCTCACTGTCCAAGTCAGAGCAACTTGAACTGGAGCTTGAATAGTTGACCAGAGCAGCAGGCAACCAACGGGTGCGCATTCATTCTACCAGAGGGTGTTGTATTTGAACCTCATAAACAAGGACTTCCCAAAGAGACCCTTCATAGAGTTTAGCGTGCAGGTCCTCCATGGCGGGAGCCTCTTCCCCTAGCCCTCTAGCCCTATCCAACTCCTTGGATGCAGGGTCTTGTACAGCTACCTCGTGGCCTTCAACGGCGCAGTGGCCAGCCAAAAGCTGAACAAGCCGCCTTTCGGCGCGAGGGCTCGGGAGGATTTGGTCGTGCCACATTGCCGTGGTCCAACGTGCCGCTCGTTGCAGTAAGTTTGCCATGCGACGTGGAAAGACTGCTGCTTGTGCCAATTATCCGTTATCCCGGTCTTTGCACATCATATTGCTGCGTGCCGTGATGCTTCTGCAAGCACTTTGTTTTCCACCGCTTCGCTGCCATGACTGTGTTTGGCCGAGTTTGACGGATCACGATAATGGACTTGGTGGCATTAACAAACTGGGTGTTGTGTCATTGTGCAATGAGCATGAGCCATGCCTGCCCAGAAGCGACCAGCGGACAGTTGAGTGACCCGCAAGTTCTTACACGCCCTTGTGTGTGTGTGTGCGTTGCATGCAAGCTTGCAACCTTATTAAAGCTTTATGTTCTGCCTGCTCAAAAGTTGGCTACTATAGGTAGTAGTGGTGGTCTATATATACCTTTCTTTAGCAATCATTTGCACTTGTTTGCAATCAAGTTGAGGTTCCCAGCGTAGACATAATATTGACCATGACTGGTACGAATAAAATTGAGCATGCTACAAGTGTGCATAGCATAGCGGGCATTGCCAATAATTTGGCAGACTAGATGACACGTGTGGTGCAATTCAACGTTACAGCATTGCAGTGCTTCCCAAATGTGCAAGCAACTGCTCGTCAAATTCACCTGTCAGGAAGCAACAGCCTTGAAGCAGGCAGACGGCTTTTGTTTGCAAACGCGACGATACTCTCTATTGTTGTGTGCCCGGGTTGAATTGCCAGGTGGAACGGCATACCTTGACACACTCGAACAATGTCGTTTATTACCATGAACGCCATGTTGGTTCGACATCAAACATAGTTTGACTTGCTAGGTGTTTTCTTTTTTGTTTTAATCAATTATGATAATTCTACTAGCCTTCATGCCAAGCCAAGCCCGGCATCTGGACTACTTCGGTTGGTTCCAAAGTTCAGTTTGGGGTTTGAAAAGCAGGGTCTCCCTAGCTTGCATGAGGTGTGTCTTAAGATAGTGGGATGCCCAAACTGGTGGTTTTCCCTTTTGATGTCCCTTTAAACTTTGAGCCAACCCAAAAAGGGTACCTGCAAAAAGAGACAAACCTTTTTTGGATTTTGAGGGGGGGGGTTCAGGAGCTGTACCGTCGCCCCGAAACGATTTCCAGTGACGCCTTCGGCCAGGCCGCATCCCTACGGCAGCCTCGCAGCCGGGCGGAGGCAGTTCCAGGTGCGACCATGCGGATGAAGCGGATTTCTGTACTTGTTCATCAGTGCTTTTGGAACAGGAGGATGTTGTTTGAACCTGTCAAGTGTTTCTTCCTGACATTGCGTTGTCTCATTTTCTTTGGAGAGTGGTGTTTATTTGTGAAGCGGTGCAGCATGCCCACATTGAAATCAGGTGTCCAGAGGAGCAACTAACCACGGACTCTCGCGTTTCGATACGTGCACGAAGAAGGGTTAGCCGCGAAACAAGAGTAGCTGTATTCAGAATTGGGCTTAGGCGTTACTATTTGTGGCTCCAGAAAGGGCTGTTTTCTGATAAGCTGCTACACGCATAGCGCTTTTTCCTCACAGCTTTTTGGCGGTTTATGTTCCCCCCAATTGCCCGCCAGCTTCGGCCGGGCATTCTTGCTGTCGGAAGAGGCGTGAGCCTCAGAGTCGGTTGACTTTACCAAGCAGAAGCCCTGTCCATTGGCAATTGGCGCATGAATGACTTGATTAAGTTGGATTGCCAGCAGGCGACAAAGTGCAGCTTTGGCAGATGTTCCTGTTCAACAGACACATGGTGTTCCTTGTCCATGGCTTGAGAAACAAACCCTTGAGCCTTCAAAGTTCGCTCAGCATGCCAAGGATGACTTTCTCTTGGGCATGTCTCGGCGCGGGAGCGGGTCGCCCGGCTTGATTTGTACCTGCCCAAGAGGGGCCCCGGAGAAGAGGTTTTCAGTGTGTCCTTCAATCCGGGGGTTTGAGGTCACCATGGCCACCCAAATTCGTGTCAGAGTCGCGACAGCGGGTCTTGCCTGTAAGACTTGAAGTGAACGATCGGCGTCATGGAAGCCGCCTGACCTCTTGCCCTCGCTACATGGATCAATCCACGTTTGAGCAACCACTGGAATTTGGCAGGATGTTCCTTCCATAGCTTGATTGTCTCTGTCACATCGGTTATGCGTCCCCGAAGCATCTTGGGGCTCAAAGAAGCGCTTCAGAGACTACCTCTGACAAACGTAACTGTCCACCTGCGGACACGTGCAGACGAGAGCTTACCATATTGTTTCCCCGTAAAACCAATCGAAAACGGGGTCCACACTTCAATCAAGGCATGGGGTCTAGAAACATGGCAAAAGACGACCCTAACTATGTGTATTATCTACTTGCCAAATTATCATGTCACAGATTCGTAGAATGGCAAGCAGCGCGCAGCACGTGTTCCACGTTTCGCCCAAACTTGGGCCACTGGTTGCAAGCTGATGTTTCGTCTCACGAGCTATCAGGCGTAACATTCCTTCATCCGTTTTCACCCCAACAGGGGGGCATGCGTAGCCCATTTTCACGGAAAGAAAGCCAAGTCACCCGCGCCACCCGAGCTGTTCGGGCAAAGAAGGGCACATGGGCGAGAAGAATGCCAGCCTGGACTTGGACCTGCAGGCGCCCGGAACATGCAGGGCGAATTGGGTCCCATGCCAGCTGTCCTGCGAGCAGGCCACACGTGAAACACGAAGTCCAAGCTGTGCAGAGGGGTTGAAAAGTGCAGAATGCTCCGAGCTGGCTGGGCCTCGCAAGCACTGGAGGTTGAACGAATGACCTAGTGGCAAGATGGCACGCAAGAATGGTGGGCCTATGATGACTACCCAGCCAACTGGTCAAGCTACTTCACCCATTTTCTGAGATGCGATTGCAACTTGCAGCCAATATTGCGAGCGTGCAATTCGTGAAACCACACCATGCCTCAAGATTATTTTACTTGCAATGACTCGTGGTCATTTTGGTCATTTGCTTTCAGCGTGCTCTCTGTCAATATGTGCCACTGAATTGTCGGCAAAGTTTCCACTCGCCTTTGTGTTTGCGTGGTTTGCGCGTTTGAACGTTTGTGAATTTGTGCACGTGTTTTTGGGTGAGAGTGAGAGAGAGAACGCTTGTGCGCCTTAGCGGATCTGAGACAGAGCAGGCAAACCAGCAGCTTGCTGCAGATGCTTTGATTCACTCTGTGGTGTAGATCAAGTGTTAGACATGTCGGCCCTTATTGAAAGAAGCAAGCAAGGCAGTCGCTGGGGAAGGCAAGGCAGGAAGATGACTGAACAGCCAGTGCAAGAATCTGCCCCCCATGCCCGCCCGTGCCCAGTCCGCGCCGCTTTGTTTGTCCAGCTTAGGGACGGACGTTTAACTCTCAGATTGTCACAACCCCAAATCTACCTGCTTCCACTTTGGCGCATGATATGAATGTTTGCATATCTTCAGAGACAGGCGGTGGAGAACATCCCTCGTGCCGCTTGGTTGCAGCATGGTGCTGGGCACCGGCACAGGCCGTTTGCTGGTTGGCGCACAGGTTCCGGCATGTCGGCATGTCAGCTTGGTGTTTGGCTGCCTACGCTTCTTGTCTGAAGGGTCCAGATCTCTCGACGAGGTATCTAATTACACAACCTGGGAATTGTGCTTTATGATTCCCCACTGCAGGCCCAACGCAAACTACTGGTACTCATTATAAGGTTCACTGAACGGACACATGCAGTAACTGTTGATCCGTTCACAATCCTCATTGCTTTCCTCTACCAAGCTATGTCCACTTACACCCGGATCAGTTTCTAGAATCCGATGACAAATGCACTGTGTGCTGTGTAATGCATGTGTTTTGCACAAGTCGGTTGCTACGTGCTTGTGTTTTTGTGTATTTGTGTGTTTTGTGTTTGCTTGCAAGTTTGATTGTTCGTTTGTTTGCTTGCTTGCTTGTTTGTTTGGTTGTTTGGTTGTTTGTTTGTTTGTTTGTGTGTTTGTTTAATTGTTTGTTTCTTTCTTTCTTTCTTTCTTTCTTTCTTTCTTTCTTTCTTTGCTTGTGTGTGTGCGCGTAGGGCTTGGAGGTCTAAACAATTTGTACGCTGGCCCAGGACACGCTGGTTGTCTTGCTGCGGCGGAAGGAGAGAGGGAGAGAGGGAGAAGGGGACGCCGAGCAAGGCAAAGAAATGCCCGCAAGCATGGAGTTCCTATATTCACGTTTACCTGGCTCTCCTTGCCCAATGTTTTCCTTTGCTTTGTTTCCCGTTCCTACTACTGCATTTTCTTGTCTTGGTTCCCCTGCCCCAATTTGCCTTCTTTGCCTCCCTCTTCTTCCTCATCCCTCTCTTTTCATTGCTGTTTCTCCTCTTGCTCACTCTCCCTTCTTCCCTTTTTCCCTTTCCTTTTCCCGCTCCCTGCTATTCTTTTGTATCTATATCTTTGCTCTGAATGTTCCCTCTTCGTCGTTGTTGCCCGGCACGGTAGTGCGGTATTGATTCCTTGATTGACAGGATAAGGAGCTGAAGACGCTGCAGGGGAAGCTGGAGAAGCTTGAAGAGAGATATGTCAAGGCCGGCTGTGCTGGTGAAACATGGCTGTGTGTGTGTGTGTTTCACACCTGAGATCTCTTTTAGTTGCTACTAGTAGTATTTCCTGTCACCCTTACCCAACGAGTTTGACGAACTTCACTCCGTTTGAGCCATCGGTTGCCAGACGCAGGGACGGCCTGAAATCCAAGGTTTGGCACACCAATGACTGCATGGCCAACTTCACAGATGACACACCCCTCTCGGGGATGTCGGAAACGACACCTTGCAAGCTGACAAAACTACCCTTGCGCTTGGCCCTTTGAGACTATGGTTCATGTCCTGAATCCTGAACTTCTGCGAGGGTTTTGTGCGGTGCTTGGCGCAGGTGGTGCGATTCAACAAGATTCTCATGGAGGCCTGGCACCCGAAAAAGGGGCTCAACATTGTAGAGGTGCGAAGCACACGGCAAGCGCGTTCCTCATGCTTTACACCATCCTCGCAACGGAGTGAAAGCCACACGCTTTGTGAGAGACCACGCGTTTGCATACCCTATTTTTTGGTGCCGCCAGTTGCCCTATTGCTGTCAGACCTTGTTGCGCCTCCGAGTGTGTATCGCGCGCTTATACTCGAACCTGATACCTTCTGACCCAAGAACAGGGAGCCTGACAGAAACTTCCTTTGAGAGAAACATGGTCTCCCAGGAATCTTCCCATTTTTTGGCTCAGCAGAGACGGCCGTAATGAGCGATAAGGCACCAGGGAAGACGCTTGCAAAGGGGTGAAACACTGATTCTTTTCCTTTTTCTTTTTTTGCGCGTTGCTGTGGACACCCTCGATGTTCAACTCATATCCTTGGACCTCTCATCGTTGCAGACGTGCAGCTGATGTTTCAACAGGTACTGGAAGACCAGCACAGATATCATAAGTCTTGTTGGTCCCCAGTTTTGCTTGCAAACAGCATGTTAAAGGCACTGATCCTCCCTGACAACGAAAAGTTGCATGAACGCAGGCTCACATCAGATGACCTTTGTTTGAATGGGGCTGGTGTCTTGCATTGCTACCAGCCACCTACTGTCAAGAACAGGGTAGGCTTGCCCAACATTTGCCTGATGACCGAGAATTGGGCTAGAAAGCGGACACTGGAATCAAAGGGACCACCACCTCCACCACGCAGGATCGACAATCATTCCAGCGCTTTTGCCACGAGTTGCTGCCAGACTGCGTCAGGGAGCCCAGGAAAGACCACAATGGGACAGAAAACACAGAGTGTGCCTCACGGCAGGTGCTGTTCTACAAAGCTTAGCTATGCGCAAGGTCATGCAAGCAAACATGATGGCAGCATCAACATGTGTGCTCATAGTCATAAAGTCATATTGAGTTGCTTAGCTCGAATTTCCTTGGGAAGTTCCTCGTCTGTTCAGTTGAACTTGGTCAGTGCACTGAAACTTGCATGTCAAAGCAAGATACGGACAAGATGTGATTTCAAGTCTAGATTATGTTGAAAGGCATGGTCAAGAAAGGACCATCAACGGCCTTTGCCACAAGCGCAAGTCGTACTGGCCAACAAGCTCCGGCAAGGCATAGAGTAGGAGCCGCATCTCTTGGGTCTTCCTGGGAATTGTGAGTCGTGGGGGGGAAGCAACAAGGCCAAATTTGTCGGACAGCCTCAGACCAAAGGACATTGAGGGCGTCAACGAGACTTGCAGTATTGAGGGGGCATATGATGTCTCCTTTAAACCCACTACTTAAGTTCTCAAATTCTCCTCCAAAGTGCGCCGAGCATGATGGGTTCTTTGGATGAGTTTATGCAATATCAACCCCCCGACTCGCAACAGGCAAAGGTCTGACTGAGATTTCAGATTCCACCGTATGAAGTCTGTGCATTGTCCCAGGCCAAACCAGCATGTGACGCGTTTGACTTGGCTTGAAACAGCAGACATTACATTCTGAGTACACATGACATGTGCAAGCGATTGTTGCAAGTAGACGAACCACCCCACAGAATGCAGTACATAGACAAAGCACATGCGGAATCATGTGGCAAGTTGCCCAACACTTAGATGATTTCCACTAGTTGCTCCCAAATCACATATATTTGCGGGTTGTCTCCAAATGGGTTACTCCTGGTTGGACGGTAAGGGAAACCCATTTCGAGTGGAAGTCCGAGGACGGCGCTTTTGAGGAGGCCGCCGCGCAGGAGGCGCCCACCAACTTGCCGCTCGAAAGAGAAAGTGGCAGGTGTCAAGATGGAGACCCGTTTTGCGACGGGAAACCGCCATGGATATGTCTGATATGTCCCGTGTTTTGAGACATATCCACAGGTTGCATGTTGAGATGTCTCAAAATGACTTTTTGGGGGGTCCATCTAACCATTTAGAAGATATGCTGAGGTTGCCAGTCAACGGACCCATTCTTTGAGGGTGAAGCAAGGTCACGGTGCTTGTTTTGACTTGACTCTTGGGCGTCCCCTTTTGCATGGTGTTGGAAGGGAAAGCATGGAAAAAGCAGTTTCTGGGGGGTCCGATTCCTAAAAAGGAAACACCCACATTCAGTTGCTTCTGACTTCTGGCTCCTGAAAAATCAGTTACACGAATCATTCCCACTTGTTGACTGAGTGTCCCTTCAAACATGAAGCAACAAAGATGGAGCAAATGTGCTTTGTTTTCAACTTAGGGATTGAAACGTAGTTTTGGCGGCTTTGGGGTTGAGGGATGGACAATGAGCTCAGGATTTCTTATCAATGGAGCCATGACCATGACCCGCACATGGGGAGTCATGCAACATAGAACGGTTTGTGCAGTGCCCAGTTTGAATTGATGACAAGCTAGGGAAGACGCAAGTTCGTCTCAACAACTGACTGAATGGTTTAGCCCTGGCTTGATGTCCAATACAAGAAGGGGGTCTACAATGGCCGATTGGGATGTCCAGTTATCCCGCGAACAGATCAGCTTGTGTGCAAACAAGAGAAGCGGGCAATTACAGGTCGTATATGGTAATTGTTGCCGCATAGGGGGCTCACCACCCAAAATTCCCGCAAAAGTCAGTGGAAGCACCCAACATGTCCTCTCAGGGAAGTTTCAACAGGATGTTGACTCATCCCGCGCCGAGGCATGAGCTGCTTCGTCAGCTGGCTGAGTGGAGACGATCCGGCCTCAGTGCGGGAATGGGGCACGGTTTCACCGAGTTACTTGCCCTATAGTTATGCAGTCTCAGAGTGGAACGTCTTGAGGCAACATGGACTCTGCCTGCGAGGATCGCAAGGCGACACCCGGGGTTTCCGCAACGATAGGCGGCTGAAAAGTGGCCGTGGCGGTGAGCCATGAAGGGGATGCAAGTGGCGGATGAATTGAGGAGGTTGCAACATCCCAAAAAAGTAGAGGCTTTTTCCGGAAGGAATCTGGCGCTGTGTCCGCTGCTTTGGAGTCTCAAAGCAAGTGGAAGAGGAGGCCAGTTGGTGCGAGAGGCAGTTGGTGTGATGTGAGTTTAGACCAGAATGGCAAGATCAGCCGTGGAATCATTGGACGCGGATTTGCCGCAGCAAGAGGCACTGAGCACCGAAAGTTATCCACTGAGCATCACAAAACAGATTCATGCAAGCAATGCTGTGTGTGTGTGGTGTGTGCGTGTGTGCGTGAGGGTTTGTTTTGTGTTTGCTTTTCCCAACAGCGACAGCTGAGAGGTAATTATTAGCCATTCCTAGGTTTGGGGCGGCCCAGGTTCCTGGAGGGTTCCAGGCAGGTGGCAGGTTCTGGCGCTGTTATACTCCTTGGGCTTATGTTCCCTTTTTTTGGCGGGGGATGATCATCACCCAATTCACGACACATACAGCGTAATACATTTTAACAGCCTTCATTCTTGTACAGGGTACATGGGACCAAACCTATCTAAACCAACCGCAGGGAAGCAGAGGGAAACGATTTGCTGGCGCTCTCCGCAGGTCTTCCAGCAGTTCTTGGAGCTGGTCTTCCCCGGTGAAGATGTGGAGGTCTTCGGGAGGCCGACTTTTGTGATCGGGGGAGGACGTCCGGGGGGTCACCTAACTTCAGGTAAGTCTCAATCGTTTTAGGAATCTGCACCCCGCTTTCTTGTAGAGGGTACATGGAAAAGCACCTCCCAACCTCCACCTCACCCTTCCAAACCACCAATTCTTGGGACGCATTGGAAGCTGGCCAATCCTCAGGTTGGCATTTCCTACCCAAGACAATTTACTGGGAACCTGTTTACTCCCTGTATAACATGGTGTTACATGTCAAGGTGGTTTGATTCTGAGTACGGATCAGGATTCAATCGCATTATTTTTGGACGAGCCCAAACTCAGAGGTTGACGTTTGGGTCCTTCTGGCAACCTCCGATTAGTGGAGGACCCCATGCTTGTTGGGCTTGGGGCAGCTTTTATGGCTCAGGCCATGGCGGGTGGCTTGAGAATTGACACGTGAGGCCAGCCAGAAACCGCTGGATTTGTCCAGATGTAAAGTTACCAGTTGAATATGGCAAACCCCAGGTAAAGTGGCAGCAGAAGGACCTTCAGCCCACCCATGCCACTGCGCTTTTGCCGCCATTCTTGATATGGTTTGTGTGCAAACTTGCATGTGCACCGGAGTTTTTGCCAAGTAGGGTTCAATCAGGGTGCGGCGTTGGCTTAGCCGGTTGTCCTCCCTTTTGGGTCGTTTTGGTCGTTCTGTTTGTTTGTGGGATGGGTAACTCGCTAAACCAAGGCCATCACATCTCTCACCAGAAGCCGTGAGAGACACTGTTCACTCAGGAAGAACATGGATTGGCGTCGGGGTCACTCTTCGGGGGCTTCGATTTCGCTTGTGAATGTGCGGAGTAGGTGGTTCTACTACCTGATCTTATGGTGGTTATAGCAAGGCTATAAAATCTTTATAACTTTATAATCATCTTGATAGAGCCAAACGTCAATGGGTGTTGGGCACTGCTCAGTTGGGAGTTTAGGGGTCACCATGCCCAAAATAGCTCGATATGCCGTTGCCAAAAGACCCCCTAGCGATTTTGGAGGTGACTTCCACCTGTTCGCCTTTCGCGCGATTCATGGCGGAGTCGAAACACTTGAATTCTAGGCTTCTTTTCGCCAAAATCCTGCAGGCGGGCCCAGCAATTTTGATGTAAAGCCTCCCCCCGCAATGTTGCGAACCCACGTAAACGAGGCCTGAAGCTTTGGATCTCCTGCAGAAGAAGTGGATACAGCTGGAGGACCAGCAGCTTGTGGGCCGAACAAGTTGTTCGAGGCTTGAGAGACACCCCTCTTTGGCAATGCCAGCTCCTGCCAGTGTCAACACATGCCAACCTACGCTGCATATGTCAGGAAACACTGGAGCAAGATGCTGTGCTTGGGTTATGCCACGTGGAGTTTCATTTCTGACACACAGTAGCCAATTCATTCTATTCAGTGATTTGGAACCACATGGGCCCACATGCAGCGTGTCAGATGCCTGTTGCCGGGGGGGGGGGGTTGTAAAGGCTTTGGCCAGCCAGTGCGACATTGTGATTCGCCAGGATTTGCACAACCAGTCCATTGCCAGCATCAACGCAATGGCCCGCGAGCAGGCGACCACACCGCCAGATGTGCTCCTTTGGTTTTTAATTGCTTGCCTCAAGGCTCCGAAGATATTGGTTTCCTTTAGGTGCCTCAGAGTTTCCATTTGGACCTACTTTGTTGCATTCAAGCCTCTCGAGGTGACCAGCTGCCTTTAAGTTTGTTCCTTGACTTGCAAATGTTGGTTTCCATGCGAGCGTGGATTCACTGGCTTTTCTGTGTGTCTGGCTTGTTCCCGCAACGACCAGGCCAGCTAGTGCAGATCTGGACCCAAAGATATTTAAGCGGCCCCTTTGGTTACCCGTCCTTAGGGGTCACATTTGGAACCTCCCACACACTTGTAGCCCTGTGAACACATTTCGAGCATTTTCTGGGATAAACAAAAATACAATGAAGCCACCAGCACAAACCCGGAGGGCGCGAGTCCGTGACTTCTCAGGCCTTGCAGCAGCAGGAGGAGCTCCTCTCAGCCCAAAAGGCATGCCAGGAAGCGGAGCGCAAGATCCAGGACGCCATGGAAACCATACGGCGCGTTCTCATAACCCCAATCCACACCCAAGCTAAAACTCGGGTTGGAGCGTTGAATACTCCCCAACATCACATTTCACAGGGTGTGCATGCCTTTTTTACGCCTTAGCGCTTGTTCTTAGACCTCAGCTGCCCAAAGCGCTTAGATCTGGACTGCCTTCCTTTAGGATGCCAATCTGAAGAAGCTTTTCCTGGTCCTAGAGGATTGACATAGATTGACCTTTGTGCCATCAGGTCTTTTGGAGAGCCACTTTGGCGGCAGACTATGATGTGAGCCCCTCGACGGTCAAATGCCATGGGGCCCATAGTACCCTTCCCCATTTTGGAGTCGATGCCCATTCCATATCTAGTATAATATCGGAAGCCCGGATCAATGAATAAGGGATGTCCACTCTCATTGTATTTTGGGGTTGGACGCCTCATTCCTGAGCCATGTGTAATCCAGGTTTGCTCGGAAAGTCGAGGATGTTTGCCCCTTTTTGTAGGAAGCCATGATTGACTTCCGTTGTGCTTGAGGCTATATAATTGCTGTAGTGAATTTGTGCTGTTCAAGAAACAACGGCTCCTGCACGGCAGAAAGTCGTAGAGAAGGGGTTTGCTGAGCACTCACATGATTTATTGATCAAATTTGGACTGAACCCTGATGTATACCTCAAAGCCTCTTGTGAAACATGGCAGTCCTGACCAGGACTTGAAGGAGGAGCTCACCAGCATGGCACGAGAGAAGGACCGGTGAACATATGAGCTTGAGGGGGAAGGAATGAGGATTCCTTGGTCAACTCCCGTGCATGAGCCAAGCAAGGGCCCATGCTACTCAAAAAGACTGTGGTGTGGGGAACCAACAACGGAGTCACATGAGATCAAGCGCAAGTTGTATGGCCAAATCAGCCTCGATTGATGGACTCAAACTTGTCGTAGTGACTTAACAGAGATGCGTTGGAGACCTTATCCTAGCTAGATGGAGTGGACGAGGCAGCAGTACTTTCCATGACGGCAAGCTGCCTTGCCTGGCAGATCGTGCACACATGCCAGGCGCAAGTGCTGAAGCAGAAGCTCCATGGAAAAAGCCAAGGCGGTCTCTGGCAAAGAAGAAGGGAAGCCAAGGTGACACCACCCATGCTGGCTGTTCGCCGTGCATTTTGTGGCAGACAGGTTGCTTCAACATACTGTCGTAGCTGACTCGCCACGCTACACAACACCCATTGCTGCACGCCTTTGGCCGTCACCTGCTGGCTGATTGTCGGCCGATTGTTGGTAGGTGTTGCTACAGCTGCTTCTGATGTGTACGCCCATGCTGAGTTGGACTTCAATATTGATGTGGGTGAAGTGACCGTACTTGCAGCCGGCTCGGCTTTCTTGCCTGCTAGGTTTGCTTGCTTGATTTTCCGGTCAGCTGGCTTGGCTGGTGTGGCTGGTTTGGCTGACTGGCCTGCGAGACTGGCTGGTGCGCTGTTTGACTGCTCATGAAGCTTTGATTTGTAACATCCAGCTGGTGAACAGGCAAAAGGAAACATGGCCCGAGCCTGTGGTGGGTTCCTGATTTGGAACCAAGGCTTTCGATGGCATGTTGCTTCAGGCTGGAACAACGAAGCTGTGGCTGAGGCCCGTGGGCCCTGAGGGTGGGCAAGAGTGTGGCCTCAAAAGATGCGCCTTGCAAAATTCAACACCTTGCAGAGAACATGTTGCAAGATTGCTGTTCTGTGTCGCAGCAAGAGGAGAGCGGCTTGTCATGAAGCCGCTCTCACCAAGAGAACAGCAGGTCTGACCAAGATTTGAAGGCGGCAACACCATGCTACGCAAAAACACAACTGGGCATCACAAGAGACTGACAGGCCGACCATTTGAAGGCCTCGTCAAGCATCATACTGATATCTTGTGACTTCAAGCATCAGACTGATCTCTTGAGACTTGTCCAGCAAGTCAACATAGATCCTCGACGATCATGGGTATACTGCGTGCTTCAATGCCATCGTGGGAATCAGAAGACACTGTCAGAAAGCCACAAGTGTTGCAACTGCATGTCAACAAGCCCTATGTAACACAGTGCAAATACTGATTTCTCGGAGACAATCGGGCAGGCAGTCAAGGCCACATGCATTCAGATTGCAGTGAAACTGGAGGCCTCTACTAGAATGTGGTTGTTTTGACCACCTGTGATATTACCTTGCTGAGGTGGGGTGTTTGCCTTAGTGCGTTATGTTTGCGTAGGATTGCAGCCTTGGGTGGCACCAATTGCCGCCAGGCAAATGGCACCGACAGCGAGGTAGCAAGAGCACTCGAGGAGAAGGCCGGACTGGAGAGGGTTCGCCTCACTCACCGTCCCCCATGCTTCCGCCCAAGAGCGATGCAGCAAACCACTCCGAAGCGGCACAAACTGGGTACAGACTCGGCCATTCCTTGTTTCCCACATCCCATCCTTGTCGATTTCACCTTTGTTTTCTCTTTGTTCAGCATTCCTTCAGCACTTCTCAGCTTCCACGACTCAGGCATCCCTTTACCTGTGGCGTGGCACACTTGGGGCCATGCCACACATGCGTTGCATGTGAGAGGCCCTCCGAAAGGAACTGGTACTTGATAGCTATCCATACCTTAACAGTGTCGCTTGGGTGAATCAATTGAAAGCAACCTCACTAGAGGGCTAACATATCTATGAGCGTGTTTGTTTTAGAAACTGTCTCAGATCGTTCGTGGCTCGTTCTTCTACATGCCACCTTTTTGGACGGTGTTGTTTCAGCTCCTATTCTGGAAGACGCGTTGAGAGAATTGTCCATCCACGAGTTTTGAGTGATGTTCTTCCTGGATTGCTTTTCCTCTCCCCCTCGTTTGGCTGGCTTGTAGTGGGTGTGCTTTAAATAGGAGGAGTTAACAAATGGCTGTTTTCCTTTTGGTGTTCTTTCAAACCCCCCAAAAGGGGTACCCTCAAGAAAAGATACTCCCCAAGAAGACCCGCAACTGACCATCGGACCATCCGGCCGACTTCGACCCGAGCGCAGGCCGCCGCAGAGCGCCGAGAGAGGGAGGCCTGGCAGTGCCTGGAGCGGCAGCGGGAGGCCCGACTTCCGAGCCAAACGACCAACTTGCTGATTTGAAAGGTAGTTTAAGGGAATCTGTTTGTGGTTCATTCCCAACACCCGGACGGTCATTCACCGAATTCTGATGTCTACCACACGGGTCCCTGAAATTCAGATTCAGTGTGCCTGGGATTGCAGCAAGCTCTGAGCAACGACCCTCCCTCCAATCATCGAAGCTGACAAGTGGGTTTTGGAAGACTACTTGCCTTTTTTGGGAAGCCACCTGTTGGAAAGAAGGACCGTTTTGAACAAGACTGTTAGATAGATGTGTTACTACACAAACAGCAAACTGAGTTTGAAATAAGGTTGCGCTTGATTTCAAATGTTATAGTTTATGATCATCAGGATGTATGAAACTGTCTAACATAATTGAATGTGGTGAGTCATAGACGGATATCGCACCAATATTATATAGGTGACATGTACAATATGTGCAGTAGGGCATACACCACACCTGTCAATTATTACAAACAAAAGTTCGCACGTGATGGAGTCCGTTTCGAAGAGATCCATTCGCTCATTGGTTGGTCGGTTGCGAAAAAGCGGGAACCCCCATTCGACCAGAGGAACGTTTTGTCCCAAATTTTGGCCGGCTTGGAAGGGTCTGGCATGGTCTTGGAAGCTGTGGGAAGGCGTCGGGCGATTTTGGAAGAGGAAACATGTCCGCCCAACCACACGGTCACCCTGTTCAGTGTGGCCAAGTTTGATGGCTGGTCACTGGTGCCGGCCTGGGGCACAACTTAAGCGTTCAAGTCGAAGGGTGCACTCTCACTGTGGCCCCTAAATCGTTTGGTCGTTTCCCTTCAGTCGCTAGTTCGGGCCTGCTCACATGTATGTTCGTGTTTAGGTCCACCTTTCTTCACCTGTTAAGTACAGTATACGTGGGCGAGTGTTGAACTTCTCGGCCCCAAACTCCTAGAAAAAGGGGGAGATCGAGAAATGCATGGAACTCATCGACGTTGCCAACGATCCTTTTCAGAGTGTGCACAGGCCGTTCCCGCCCTACTGCAAACTCCAAACCATTTCTTGATGTGGAAAGCCCATGTGTGTGTAGATGTATACAGCATTGCCATAGCCTGCAAGGTTGCATACGCCGGGGAACCCAATTGTTCATGCGGCAGATGAATGCCTGCCAACAAGTGTGCAAGGAGTTCTGGCTGACGCTCTATTTGGGATTTGGGCTGGCTGCGAGACACGCAGTTGGCTTTTGGTGCCCCATTGCTCCATGCAGTATCAACCAAAACTGGGAGTTCAAGACCTCACACTTACAATTGCAGGGTGTCATCGGGGTCCGAGCCTGTGAACGTGAATTCAGGTTCCGGTTTGCCTCTTTCCCTTTGCAGGCACCGATTCTCCGCTTTGCCGTCGTAGCTCAACTCTGAATTCCTTTCGGTCGGTTCGCTCTGCCAGGCCATGCAGGCGATTCGGCGCCGTGCCGTCGGGAAGTGTTTGGTTCGGAGAAAGCAAGCTCCACAAAGGCGTGTTCGCTTGGAAAAGACGGATTATGCGTATTGGATTCCTTGGAATGGGTTGCGTTGTGCTAATCTCCTGTGCTTCTGTGATTCAACAAGAGTTTCTCGAGGCCATCATCCAATCTCCGGCACCATCGCAAAGCATCGTGTCTACCAGGCTTCAGCAGCACAAAGTTTGTAGCAATGGGCACACAAGGCGTTCGTGTCACACGTGCGCTTGTTGGCACTTCGTGGTAGGTACCACATGCGGCAGACTGTAAACCAGTCGAACGTCAAGGGCAGCTGCACCCAGAGCCGTATGTGTTCACCAGAAATTTCAGCGACTGCCCGAAGCGAGACGCAGGGATCCAACTTGTCATAGCTGGGAAGAGATCCGCATTCGGCCCTCTTGGCACTGCTTTGCAGCCATACGGCTCTTGCAAAGAGCACGGAGTGGGTCCACAATATTGCGAACATGCGACAGATGTTGGCATGAGTATGAACTTTCACCTGAAAGCTGATGACACGCACTTGATTCATTGCCATGCTCTCAGTGGACTTGTTCACTGAACGGTGCATGAAGCAATGCAATGCAGCCCCTTTCCCTGGGCAATTTAAGCCAATACGACCGGATCTCCTGCGGATGGCAGAGGCCGAACAGGAAGCGAAATGTCCCAGGCCAGTGGTGACAAAGGTGGCTGCGAGCTTCGTGACGCTTGGCACCGCTTAGCTTGTGGCGTTTTTTAGGTTCCCGGGCCGAGCCAAGCAATTGAAGAAGAAAGCAAGTCTCTGGTGTCCAATGTTGCATATTGTCAGTGGCGATGGGCAAGTGGCGAAAGGCGCTCCATAAAAATGAGAGATGTGTAAGGCATATTCATTACAACTAGAGTCTCAGAGAACGGATCGATGGCAACATTTACACGACAGAGACCGCCAGACTGTCAGAGCGCCATTCAGATTCCAAAACTGCCCAAGAATGCCCAAGACCCTGCTTCAATTTCCAGCGCGATGCCGCCTACATGTGAGACGTGCACTTGCCATGCAAGCCAGAAGGGTCATTTGTAGCGTTTATCTTGAGAGGCTTGGATTGTGTGATGTCAGGAATCACATCTTCACCTTCGGACCAATCTATAGCTTCGGCATCTTCCTGCCTTTCATAAAGGCTCGGCCTCCTGGTGAATCCTGCTTCTGGGTCGGCTGCTGTCTCGGGGCTGATTGGCTCCACAATCGAAAGCTTTTGCTAACACTTTGATCACTTTGACCTGCTACATGCATTTATGTTCATTGGCCGTCAATTGTGATCGGGACTTGTTTGGTTTAGCTTCCAAGGTTGTCAGACTGGCGTGCCGCGTGTGCGCTGCGCTCCACCTGACAGTTTGACATGCAATCACCGCTTTTGCAGAGCCCGAGGCATTTGCACACTCACAGTGCGCTAATTAGTTTGTATGCTTAGAAGAATGGGAGTGTGCTTGATATATGCTGCCTCCACCCTAGCTGGTGTTTTAACGTCTACCGAAAGAAGCCAACCAGCCACTTCTTAGGGATCCCCTATTTAAAGAAAGCTTATCTATGCCATTGTGTCCATGCCAGCGCAGCAGCTGGGAATATGGTGACTTGCTTTGGGATTCCCTTGAACCTGCTGTGATGACCCTGAGGCCTTTGACTTCATGTTTTGTGGATCCAGACGTGTGTTTCTTTGTTGGCATGGTGCTTGCAGTCTTTGCAGGCAGACTTGGGCATCTCCCTCACCGAGGCGCTTCGTCGGAAGTCGGCCGCTGTGGACCAGCCTTGTGCAGAAATGTCAAGCCCTGTGCGAACGATTCAATATGTGTTTGGGTACGGTGGGCATGCTGGCTGGATGTTGCGTTGCGTGCTAGTATGACTTTAAGGAAGATACAGGATGCATCTACATATGACAGCGCATGGCATGTCAAGTTCTCAGTTCTCAAGGCAGAAACTGCAGGTGCCGTTGAAACACATGAAAGAGGCGTATTGCAATGGCCTTGAAACAAGTCACTGCAAGGTGTCGACTGTCAGCAGCACCATGAACACCGCGCAGTTTGTTGGCTCTTTGTTGGCCGGCTTCCTGGCAGGATATGTTTGTTGCAAGCAAAAAGTGTTTGTTTGCGGTGTCCGCGTGCGTGTGTCGCGTTTGCTTTTGTGGGCAGACAGACGGAGACAGGCAGGCAGGCAGGCAGACAGGCAGAGACAGACATAGACAGAAACAGAGACACCGACACAGACACAGACACAGACAGACAGAATCGAGTCATTGCTTGCTTGCCCGGCTTGTCCTGGCCAACGTTCAGTACTACGCGTAGTTAGTAACATTAGTTGCTGAGGATATGTACCTGGCCTCTTTTGTCGGTAAGTTGAGGGTGGGTCAATTAGCAAGGCATTCTCAAGAGACAAGTGCTGTTCAGGCAGGGGGATCCTACAAATGTTGATGGTATTTTTCAAGCAAGGGCCTTCAACAGCAACAGTCAAACACAGTTGTTGCACTCGTAGGGTTTTGCTATCTCTCGTGCTGGCGATGAATGATTGGTTGTGTATCGGTTCTGTCTTGCTTTCGTGTCGCTTTAGAATTTTGATGTTTTTTTTCTTCCGGGCCGTCTCATTCAATGGAGTTGTGGTTGGGGCATTGGGAAAGAATATGTTTGGGCGACCTTCATGTGAGTACTTGTCCTGCATCTTGATGAGTAGTCTGGTGATGGCAAGAGGAGCTATTTGCATGGCGTCTGAAAGGCATCGGGCCCTTGCTCAATGATCTGTTTTGAGGGGTGCAATTTTCTAACAGAACCTCAAGTGTTCACGAGATGATGTTTTTTGACGCGCGTTCTTTGAGCCGTGATCCGTGCCCCGGCACACCTTGCTGAACGCAGATCATTGGATAAGCTGTGCACTCTTCTGCTTTAAGATTTTCTCTGTCAACGTGCAATCAATTTCTACACCGGCAACGGTTACCTGCTTGCCAAAGACGGGTGCACCCGCAGAGATTGCCTGTTGGAAAGAGCAGCACTTTGTACCTCCCAAGTCCTTCGCAGACAGAGTGTGATCTGCTCCTAGACTCTTGGCTTCTAGGTTGGGAAAGAAGGACGTCGGATGTCCATGCCAGATCAAATATTCGGTCAACAGATTCTTCGGACAACGCAGATCGGTGTTCGCTTTCAGCTGAGGCCTGGTGATACCCAAGCGGCTTTCTCATGTGCAAGTGGCTGTCTTCAGTGCTCTGTCTGTGCTGCTGGGCCTTTCGGCGCTCAGCTTCGCTCCACGGCTGAAAGCGAAGAAGCCGCGCCCGGGATCAAAAGTTTTTCCATGTGGGTGCGTCTTTTTCTAGTGTTTGGGCTAGTCCTGAGTCCCGCATAGTCCAACTTGTCTCAGGCGCACTTTTCTTTCAACCCCTAATTTGCCGACCAGTGGCATTATGGCCGAACACGTGCCGGCGACCCTCCCCGAGCGAGCCGTCGGAACCTCTTGAAATCTAGGCAGGCGCAGCAATCATGGGCTGGTCTTGGTGTGACCTTAGCCTCTTAGGCCTTTTTGGAAGCAGGGTCTTTTCCATTAAAGCTACCAAAGGTTAGGCCTTTTGTTCAGGCAAGAGCAACCCGCAACTACGCTCTTTCAGCACTCCCGAGGCCTGACCAAGCTCCGTGCGTACGCTTCTTGACGGCTCATGCCTGTGCTGTTAATCCTGAAACCCGATTCAATAAAAGGCTTGGCATGCTGAAACCTATGTCCAGATTGGAATTGCTTCCAGCCTTAAGGCCCAGGCTGCTTGGCACGCTTATCCTGCTGCGCTGGTGGCAGGCGCTGATTGTGTGAAGGGAGCTTGAACTAAGTGCTTTGTGCCCATTCTAGCTTCTTTGAGGGTTCAAACTGAGCAGGCGACTGCAGCAAGGTTGTCTGCAACGTATCATGCCTCCATTTAAAGTAAGCTGGCCCGGAAGGTTGTCAGATTCGGCCTGCACTGGCATTGAAAATCACACCAGCTGTCCGCTATAAAGATGGGTTCCATGGTTTGTTGACTCAGGCTGGGCTTGGGCGCGTTATGAATGTCAGTGGAGTCTATTGAACACTTCTTGTAGATCCAAGCTTGGCCTGAATCCGAATCCTAGCCTGGCAGAAAGACCTCAGCAAGTGTGCAGATTGAAGATCATCGAAGCTGAAGCAGGAAGAATGTCAAAGGCTCTGTTTTCCGAGTCCATGTCATGTATCTCAAGGATGGAACCATCACAAGTAAAGCTATAGCGAGTCCAGCACGAGTGCCCATACCATGTTTAGGCTTTTATGTGATCTTCATACTAACTTGCACTTCTGCCGAAGGATTGCTTTGACATGAACTCGGCAGCATCATTGTGCGTATATGCCCCACCTACACACAATGGCGTATCCTCATTCTCACTCAAACATACCCACACACATATATACTTGTTTGAGCGCGCAGGTCTTTTGAATCGACATGTGGCATTTGTGCAAGCAAGCTTGCTTTCCTGCCTGTGACTGCCAGTCCTCTTAGACATGTGTATGGATATGATCTATATATATGCTACCCCCCCCCCCCAGGGACCTACCTTTTGGCTGCCTCTCCAGTGCATGAATTGCCCATCTAGGACTGGGAGGAACGATCTCTCAACTAGGACCAGGACCAAATGAGACTAGAACCCAGGATCTCTGAACTGGGACTAGGACCAAACTAGGACTAGACGACCCACCTCAGATTCGTACAAAAAATGAACTTCAAGTATAACTTCCTCTGCAATGTCCTGTATATTTTCTAATTGTTGCAGTAAACTAGGGAGCAACCTAACACTAGAACCAAGGATCTCTCATCTAGGACCAAACTAGGACTAGACCATTTCATTCTACTTCTTATAGTATTTGGATGTCAAGTATTACATTCTGGTGGAAAAAAAGTCCTGTTTAATATTTGGTCCTAACATGTAAATTCTGACTGGATATTCTCCTTATTTCAAATTCAATTGTTCAGCTAGAAGTTGCATAGAACTTGACTAATATATTAACTACAATTCATAACGACCTTCCTTTGTAATGTCCTTTATACGTTCTATGTATTTCAGTAAGCTGGGACCATACTTGGCCCATAACCAAGGATCTCCCAACTAGGACTAGGACCAAACTAGGACTAGCTAGTTCTGAAAGTGATTGAATTTCAATGTACAATGGTCTATTGGACAGAAAATAGTTTGTACCATTTAATTTGACATAAACAGTCAATATTTAAGTTCGAATCTAAATCGCAATTTTGGCTGGAGTATGTCCTTCTTAAGCTGCATTGAATTTCAATCAGAAATAAGGTTGAATTTGATAAAACATACTAAGTGGAATGCATAAGGAACGAATCCAAAGGTCCCAAACTTGTGTCGTTCACTAGTCCTAACACTACCTTGGTCAGAAAACACCGTAAAACACAGTGTTGTGTAGCGTTTTTCATACTCAATTCACATCTCCACCAACGAACGCTCTCTAAATGCTCATTTGAACTTGAACAGGATTTAATTGGGACTCAATACGGAAATATTTGGTCAGAATCCTAATAGTAATCAAATTTGAGATTGCGAGTTTAAATAGAGTTCCTTTTCCAATGTATACTTGCAATTCAATATGAGCTTTAACAGGATTTGATAAGGAAAGAACCCATATTCTCTAGACAAGTCTTCTTTGCAAACGCGAGTCCAGGCCCGAGTGAAACCCATTGAGACCGACTGAAATTTCAGTTGAGCCTGGGTTCAAGATTCCCTAGAAAACTTTGACCTGCAATCTTGAATGTGGGCCTAGATTGAAACAGGTTGAATGAATAATCAGGACTTGGATGCTTGCACAACACTGTGCTAAAGTACAGCCGCGCAAAGTGCAATGTTGAATTTGGGTCTCGATTTAAACCGATTTAAACCGATTTAACTTAAATCGGGCATGGATTCAAGATTCAAGATTCAAGAATCCAGGCCAAACTTTTCCAGGGATTCTTGAATCCAGGCGTCGATTTAAACCGATTTAAACCGATTTAACTTAAATCGGGCATGGATTCAAGATTCAAGATTCAAGAATCCAGGCCAAACTTTTCCAGGGAGTCTTGAATCTTGAATCTTGAATCCATGCCCGATTTAAGTTAAATCGGTTTAAATCGGTTTAAATCGACGCCTGGATTCAAGAATCCCTGGACAAGTTTGGCCTGGATTCTTGAATCTTGAATCTTGAATCCATGCCCGATTTAAGTTAAATCGGTTTAAATCGGTTTAAATCGGTTTCAATCAAGCCTGAAGCTTCCAGAACGTCCTTGGAAATGCTTCTTTTTCATTGCTCTCCCCAAAGCCCAAAAAAGGGTAGAAAACACTGCAAATACCAGTGAATTCATCAAAAAGGTAGGTCCCTGGGGGGGGGGGTACAAAAAAGGTAGAAAACACTGCAAATACCAGTGAATTCATCAAAAAGGTAGGTCCCTGGGGGGGGGGTACCATATATATATATATACACATATTACATGGTACCCCGCTAGGGCTCTCACGTTTATGCCTCAGTCCCTGCATCTTGAGTTCCACTTGGGTCAGCATCAGCGATACATATGATTTGTTCGATATGCTAAAAGCAGGAAAGATGGCCTCACGGAAATCCAGGATCTGCAGAAACGGCATGTGCATCCGTAAAGTTTGTTTGCGTCCGCGAGGCCTGGGCCTAGGCGCCTCCAACCTGGCGGGGCTCGTAGCGCTGAACGCATCTGTGGGCCCAAGCCGGCGCGCCACCATGGTGGGCCTGGCCACCTGCGGCCTGGCGAGGATTTCCTTGTGCATTGCGCCCGACACGTTGCAAGGGAACAAGGAAAGCCTTGTGCTTTCCATACTTTTGTGATGGGCGCAAGTTTGATGCAGCCCTGACTTGAGGCATGTGCGTCACGCGTTATGAGTTTGGCTCCAAGCTGTCGACAGGGATCAGTTGAGAAGGGGGGCCAAACAAAGGTGAGAAGAACATGTGTTTGGAAGTTGGCGAAGCAAGTGCTCGCTTGATTTTTTTGGGAGTGCAGCTCGTCCCCGTTTTGCATGGTTTGCAAGTGCTGCAGATTGCCATTGTTTGAAGCCATCGCTCAACAAAGTAGCCAGGAATCCTGACCATGTTAGCTTGTTGCCACGCTTTTGTAGGTGCTGACGTTGGGCAGCAAAAGAAGGCAACCTTCAAGTGCTTGCAGCAAAGGCGGCACTAGTGTCGGCACGATCCTGCTGCCGCAGTTCTACAACCTGCTTGCAGGCAAGGGCCTTCCTTTCACACCCACCCAAATGCTTTGCAAGGTCAATCTGATTGCCTGCTAGCTTCAAATGGAGGGGATGCGATTGGCAACCTCCTGGCCATTTAGATTGGCAGATGAGACGCCATCATTTCTTTGGAGAAGCCTCGACCCATGTGCAATCTGCAGTACAGGTTGCCCGAAGTGGCCTTCAATCAACCCTAATTTCGAGAGCACCTCCCCTGTGAGAGTCCCATCAACAAATTGACTCACCACGCCATGAGCGCGCCCACGTTGCTTCGCCCACAATTACACAAGACACTGTGTCTCTCTTTTTTTGTGCTTATCATGGCCAGGCGATCTTGAGGTGGCAAATTATTGGAATTCTTAATGTTCCATTTTCCTTAGACACATTTCCCATTGCGCACAATTTCCCATTTGCTTTACGCACGCCAAGCCGGGGGAAAACACTTCCGCGAGGCTCCCTGGGCTGGCGCTGGGCCATGCGCATCAACGCCGCAGCCTCCTGTGGTTTTCTCCTGGCCGCGGCGCCTTTCTTCTGGGTGGCGCCTGCAAAGGCGCGAACATGTCCGCTGAAAGCAACCGCAGATGTTGTGTTTATTTTGTTTTTCTTCAGGAGGCTTGGGACCTGGAGCAATTAGTTCCGAAAGTTAGGCACCACTTGAAAAGACACTTGTTTTGTTAGGACTGTTAGGTTGTCCTTTTGGCACCAACCAAACGGGTTCCAGGTTTCTCAATGAATGAACCTCATTTGATGGGCAGTCTGAGTTTGAGGATGGTAAACACCAGCCATCAGCAGCCCTGTGTCTGTGAGCAGTTTGCGCCCGATACAATCTGAAGCTTGCACTACATTGTCGCTCAGACCTGCAGGGGTGTCCTTTTGTCCCTTTTTTTGTCTTTTTCTTTTTTTCTCGGGGGGGGGGCTTCGCAGGAAAGGGACAGCTCTGTTGCACATGGGCACGAGTCCAGAGCTCAGGGCTTATTGCTTGCGTCTTTTTGTTGATAAGTCACTCGCTGATCTTTTCCGCTTGGATGCCAAGCAGAAGCACCACGGATGTCGGTGCAGTAAACGGCCATGTGGGCGGACCTGCCATTGTATTAGTTTCCAAATCTGTGAAAGTCGCCTGGTTAGACCATTGCGATCTGCGCCTTTCTAGATGCGAAAACAAACTTATGGTGTCGTTTGTGGCCGAATCAGACCATGACAGTTGCAAGAATGATATCTTAATCTTTTGGTTGTCAAATCCGACCATTGTCGAATGCGACTGTTTCCGGATATTCCGGATAAAGCCAGGCCGGGTATGCATTAGCACCCGTACCGCAGGCCAGCACCGAGTCAAAGAACTCACTTCCAGCGATCGCCTCAGACTCGCATCAGCCACACCTGCATTGACAAGTGTGTATAAATGTTGATGCACCGACAGCTAAGTTGTGCAGCTGACTAGTTTCAGTGATGCGATTTTGTGTGGTCCTGACAACATCAATGCCATGTGGCAAGGCTTCCACAGGATCCCCACCTTACCCAATTGACAAACCCCTTGTCAGGGGTTCCATGAAGCCAAAGCCTCAATATGATGGCAAAAGCGCCAAGTCCACGCTGAGGGCATGACCACGGGGAACCCTGATGATTCTAGCTGTTGACCTGTTTGTGGAGAGAAAGAAGGTCGCCCAGCTAGCTGTCCCAGCAAGGAATGGATTGCAAAGGGGAACCATCGATGACGTTTGCAATGAATGGATGACTTGCACTGTAGTCTTGTACAGGGGTGAGTCAAAAACTGAATGCTCATTGTCTTCTTGATGAACGCAGCTGGCCCCGTGGCAAGTCCCTGATTCGCCAAGAGCACCACTGTTTGGGTACGGCTGAAAACGCTCCCGCCAACAGGAAAACCACCAGCCACAAAGGTATGGTTTGTCGATGTTTGATCAAACGGGGACAATGTTGATCAGCCTTGTGGACTCCAGTATATCAAACAGCAAGCTCCCAATGTAGAAACTTAAAGATGGTGGCTCCTAAAAGACGTCTCCCTTTATCTACCAGCGTCACTGGTCAACTTGGATTGACTGCGGGTTCCGCTGAGGCTGCAGCTGCCCAGGCGGTTCCGGTTGCCCAAACGCGGGCCAGGCGCTGCCAGCCTCTCAGGGACCCACGCTTTCTTTGCTGGTGGCTGGACATGGCAGTTTGCCACCAGGACGCAGACAGTCGATGTCCATAGCTTTGAAGCTCGAGTCATGGGTCATTGCTGTGGTATGTTTGCACGACTCCCTATTTGAATCTCGAGTCATGGGTCATTGCTGTGGTATGTTTGCACGACTCCCTATTTTCATGGGATTGCACAGACGATCTAGGGCAGTTGATGAGAACCTCCTGCCGGCATGCGCCCACACAGCCATGTTGTTTACTCTTCCAAACCAGTAATCATAGTTTTTTTTTTTTTTTCCGATTCCAACTGGTGGACCTTTTGGCTCCTTGGCTGCCTAGTTGATTCTGTCACACAGCTTTAGAAGCCCGGCTTGCCCTCCACTTGCACTTGGGCACTGAAGTGCTTACAACCACAGCACCATTGTGTCGTGCCATATAATTCAAACCACCAGAAATAGCGCAGAGTCAGAGGGCTTTGTGCTATTTATCAAGTGGTGCTGCGTTGTTGTTGATGATGACGGTGATGATGGATGCTATTCCAAATTTCCAATGTTCCCGCATCCCTTGAAGGGTACCTACCAAACACGAGGTAAGTGTAGAACCCTTGGGACCAGCTGGTAAAGGAGTTTGCTTAATTTAGCCAACATGTATCCTCTAAGGAACCCTGCTTTCCAAGGCCTTCGAAGCTCGGGAAGCGTTTGTCTTAACATGGGAGAATCCCCGAAACAGTGGTTTCCCTTTCCCCCTCTGCAAGCAACCCCGAAAAAGGGTACTCAAAAGACTCACCCGGAAGCCCGCAAGTCCGAGGCTTCTTCGGGTACTTTGGGCCCTCAGTGCTGCTGGCGGAGTTCGCGCGCACGGAGCTGCAGTTGGCGCCGGAGGATGCGGCCAACTGCTACACGTTGCTCGGCGCCTCGGTGCGATCCAAGACCAAGCCAGCGTTGATGAAAGTAAACTAGACCACGGTTGGCCCGAAAGCAGAACATCGCAAGCGAGGTCGGCCCAACGCTGCAGGATGCGTTCTTTTTCCCTACAGGAAGCATTTGTGAAGCAAGCGCGAGACAGCACCAGGCAAGGTGCTCTGCGCAAACTGGTCGGTGCAAGTTGGTCTGCGCAAGTTGCTCTACGCAAGTTGCACTGTGCAAGTTGCTCTGCGCAAGTTGCTCCGCGCAAGTTGCTCCGGCAAGTTGGTCCCTGCAAGTGGCTCCCTGCAAGTTGCTCTGTGCAAATTGCGCTCCCTGCAAGTTGCTCTGTGCAAGCTGCTCTGTGCAAGTTGCTCTGTGCAAGTTGCTCTGCGTAAGTTGCTCTGCGCAAGTTGCTCTAGGCAAGGCGCTCTGCGCAAACTGGTCGGTGCAAGTTGGTCTGCGCAAGTTGCTCTGTGCAACTTGCTCTGCGCAAGTTGCTCTGCGCAAGTTGCTTTAAAATGCAAGTTGCATCTTGCGACGCCCGCCCGCGGACCAGGGAGGAATCGAACCCGCGACCCGCCGGTTCCGGGAGCAGGCGCGCGAACCACGAGACAACTCCCGAGGACCAGTTCGAACAACAAAAGTCGCAAAAAACCTCGAGTTTTTGCACCTCCACCACGCCGATCCCGCAGAGGGTCGCGCGCAGCCGTCGAGCCATCGCAAAAAACCATGAGGTTTTTTTTCGCGAGCCTCGCAAAAAACCACACCTCGACCACGCCGATCCCCGCAGAGGGTCGCGCGAGCAGGTTAAACATCGCAAAAAACGCATGGGTTTTTGCACCTCGACCACGCCGATTCCCGCAGAGGGTCGCGCGAGCAGGTTAAACATCGCAAAAAAACCTTTTTTGCACCTCGACCACGCCGATCCCCGCAGAGGGTCGCGCGATTTTCGTGGGTAGTCGTCGTCGGCACCTTGACCCCGCCGCACCTAACGCAAGAGATTTTCGTGTAGTGTCGTCGGCACTACCCCGCCGCCCTAAGATTTTAACTCCTCGCAAGTCAATTGCACTTGACTCCTTGCACTTGCAACTTGCACTTGACTCCTTGCTTGTTTCAAGGAGTCATTGCAAGGAGTCATTGCAAGGAGTCATTGCAAAGAGTCATTGCAAGGAGTCATGGCAAGAATTCATTGCAAGCAGTCATTGCAAGGAGTCATTGCAAGGAGTCATTGCAAGAGTCATTGCAGGAGGAGGTCATGGGAGCCATTTGCAAGTTGCAAGGAGTCAAGTGCGATGCAAGTGCAAGTCGGCAAGTGGTGCAAGGATTTGTGCAAGGAGTCAAGTGCAAGTTGCAAGTGCAAGGTGTCAAGTGCAAGTTGCAATCCTTGCCATGACTCCTTGCAATGACTCCTTGCAATGACTCCTTGCAATGACTCCTTGCAATGACTCCTTGCAATGACTCCTTGCATGACTCCTTGCAATGACTCCTTGCAACTCCTTGCAATGACTCCTTGCACTCCTTGCAATGACTCCTTGCAATGACTCCTTGCAATGACTCCTTGCAATGACTCCTTGCAATGACTCCTTGCAATGACTCCTTGCAATGACTCCTTGCAATGACTCCTTGCAATGACTCCTTGCAATGACTTTCATGATGATGATTCCTTGCAATGACACCTTGTAATGACTCTCATGAGAACAACTCAAGTGAACCCAGCGGACGAACCCTTCGCCATGCTTTCGGGAAAAACACAAGACTGCGCAGCTTTGGAGCCGACCTGGCCACACAGCTGCTCCACGACAGCGGCAGCTAGGTCTGCCTTGGTCACTTTGCCGCCTGCGACCCGTTGGCGCACATCCAGCTGTCGAGCGAGCGCGCAAAGTTGGGGTTGGGCTTTGGCCGCCACCTCTTGCTGGAGCCACGCCTTGCCCTTCTCCGCCAAACCAGCGCGAAGCGTGGCCACGACAAGCTCTGCCTCATCCTGCCATGTCCATGAGATGAGGCAACCGTCCGTAAGAAGCACGACATGGTGCCATCTGGTGCTTACATCTCGGCCATCCGCAAAACATCATCAAAAACAAAAGCGTCAAACACCGACTACGACCAGGTCGAGACACCGGCGTTGGCGAAGCCGCAGAACTGCTTGGCTCCTGGCAGCAATCAGCACAGCAAAGCAAACACCAGCAAAACTCTTCGATCCTGGCCTGTGGGCACAGCTTCTCCACGACAGCGGCAGCTAGGTCTGCCTGGGTCACGCTGCTGCCTGCGACACATCGGCGCACATCCAGCCGTCGGGCGAGTGCGCGAAGTTGGGGTTGGGCTTTGGCCGCCACCTCTTGCTGGAGCCACGCCTTGCCCTTCTCCGACAAACCAGCACGAAGCGTGGCCACGACAAGCTCTACCTCATCCTGCCATGTCCATGAGATGAGGCAACCGTCCGTAAGAAACACGACATGGTGCCATCTGGTGCTTACATTTCGGCCATCCGCAAAACATCATCAAAAACAATAGCGTCAAACACCGACTACGACCAGGTCGAGACACCGGCGTCGGCGAAGCCGCAGAACTGCTTGGCTCCTGGCAACAATCAGCACAGCAAAACAAACACCAGCAAAACTCTCCAGATTTCGATCCTGGCCTGTGGGCACAGCTTCTCCACGACAGCGGCAGCTAGGTCTGCCTTGGTCACGTTGCTGCCTGCGACCCGTTGGCGCACATCCAGCCGTCGGGCGAGCGCGCGAAGTTGAAGTTGGGCTTTGGCCGCCACCTCTTGCTGGAGCCACGCCTTGCCCTTCTCCGCCAAACCAGCACGAAGCGTGGCCACGACAAGCTCTGCCTCATCCTGCCATGTCCATGAGATGAGGCAACCGTCCGTAAGAAACACGACATGGTGCCATCTGGTGCTTACATCTCGGCCATCCGCAAAACATCATCAAAAACAATAGCGTCAAACACCGACTACGACCAAGTCGAGACACCGGCGTCGGCGAAGCCGCAGAACTGCTTGGCTCCTGGCAACAATCAGCACAGCAAAACAAACACCAGCAAAACTCTCCAGATTTCGATCCTGGCCTGTGGGCACAGCTTCTCCACGACAGCGGCAGCTAGGTCTGCCTTGGTCACGTTGCTGCCTGCGACCCATTGGCGCACATCCAGCTGTCGGGCGAGCGCGCGAAGTGGGGTTGGGCTTTGGCCGCCACCTCTTGCTGGAGCCACGCCTTGCCCTTCTCCGACAAACCAGCACGAAGCGTGGCCACGACAAGCTCTGCCTCATCCTGCCATGTCCATGAGATGAGGCAACCGTCCGTAAGAAACACGACATGGTCCATCTGGTGCTTACATTTCGGCCATCCGCAAAACACAAACAACAATAGCGTCAAACACCGACTACGACCAAGTCGAGACACCGGCGTCGGCGAAGCCGCAGAACTGCTTGGCTCCTGGCAACAATCAGCACAGCAAAACAAACACCAGCAAAACTCTCCAGATTTCGATCCTGGCCTGTGGGCACAGCTTCTCCACGACAGCGGCAGCTAGGTCTGCCTTGGTCACGTTGCTGCCTGCGACCCATTGGCGCACATCCAGCTGTCGGGCGAGTGCGCGAAGTTGGGGTTGGGCTTTGGCCGCCACCTCTTGCTGCAGCCACGCTTTGCCATGCTGGGCCGCGCCAGCCTGAAGCCTAGCTACTTCGAGCTCCATGACTTCTGTTTGAGCCAAATCTCGATGATCATCCGCAAGATGCACATAACAACCAGCCGTGTGCGCCATGCCCGTAAATAAGCCGTGTGCGCCATGCTCCCCGCAACTTCTTTCATGATGAGAACTCCTTGCGTCAAACTCCTACAAGTGAGTGGCCTGAAAGCATAACTCCCCACGATGTGCGGTAAACTTGTTTAACCCCGGCCTGGCACATGCGCAAGTTGCTCTGCGCAAGTTGCTTTGCGCAAGTTGCTCTGTGCGAGTTGCAGTGTGTGCAAGTTGGCGCGAGACAGCACCAGGCAAGGTGCTCTGCGCAAACTGGTCGGTGCAAGTTGGTCTGCGCAAGTTGCTCTACGCAAGTTGCACTGTGCAAGTTGCTCTGCGCAAGTTGCTCCGCGCAAGTTGCTCCGGCAAGTTGGTCCCTGCAAGTGGCTCCCTGCAAGTTGCTCTGTGCAAATTGCGCTCCCTGCAAGTTGCTCTGTGCAAGCTGCTCTGTGCAAGTTGCTCTGTGCAAGTTGCTCTGCGTAAGTTGCTCTGCGCAAGTTGCTCTAGGCAAGGCGCTCTGCGCAAACTGGTCGGTGCAAGTTGGTCTGCGCAAGTTGCTCTGTGCAACTTGCTCTGCGCAACTTGCTTGCAAGTTGCTTTAAAATGCAAGTTGCATCTTGCGACGCCCGCCCGCGGACCAGGGAGGAATCGAACCCGCGACCCGCCGGTTCCGGGAGCAGGCGCGCGAACCACGAGACAACTCCCGAGGACCAGTCCGAGCAACAACAAACGTCGAAAAACCCTCGAGTTTTTGCACCTCGACCACGCCGATCCCCGCAGGGGTCGCAAAAAGAATAGAAAATCGCAAAAAACAATCGCCTGGACCACGCCGATCCCCGCAGAGGGTTGCGCGGGCACCGCAGAAATCGCACCTCGACCACGCCGATCCCCGCAGAGGGTCGCGCGAGCATGTTAAAAATCGCAAAAAAACCATGGGTTTTTGCACCTCGACCACGCCGATCCCCGCAGAGGGTCGCGCGAGCACCGCAGAAATCGCAAAAAAAACCATGGGTTTTTGCACCTCGACCACGCCGATCCCCGCAGAGGGTCGCGCGAGCAGGTTAGAAATCGCAAAAAACCATGGGTTTTTGCACCTCGACCACGCCGATCCCCGCAGAGGGTCGCGCGAGCAGGTTAGAAATCGCAAAAAACCATGGGTTTTTGCACCTCGACCACGCCGATCCCCGCAGAGGGTCGCGCGAGCAGGCAGAAATCGCAAAAAACCATGGGTTTTTGCACCTCGACCACGCCGATCCCCGCAGAGGGTCGCGCGAGCAGGTTAGAAATCGCAAAAAACCATGGGTTTTTGCACCTCGACCACGCCGATCCCCGCAGAGGGTCGATTTTCGTGTAGTGTCGTCGGCACTACCCCGCCGCCCTAAGAAGAGATTTTAACTCCTCGCAAGTCAATTGCACTTGACTCCTTGCACTTGCAACTTGCACTCGCAACTTGCACTTGACTCTTGCAACTTGCAACTTGCACTTGACTCCTTGCACTTGCAACTTGCACTTGACTCCTTGCACTTGCACTTGCAACTTGCAATGACTCTCATGACTCCTTGCAATGACTCCTTGCAATGACTCCTTGCAATGACTCCTTGCAATGACTCCTTGCAATGACTCCTTGCAATGACTCCTTGCAATGACTCCTTGCAATGACTCCTTGCAATGACTCCTTGCAATGACTCCTTGCCTCCTTGCAATGACTCCTTGCAATGACTCCTTGCAATGACTCCTTGCAATGACTCCTTGCAATGACTCCTTGCAATGACTCCTTGCAATGACTCCTTGCAATGACTCCTTGCAATGACTCCTTGCAATGACTCCTTGCAATGACTCCTTGCAATGACTCCTTGCAATGACTCCTTGCAATGACTCCTTGCAATGACTCCTTGCAATGACTCCTTGCAACTCCTTGCAATGACTCCTTGCAATGACTCCTTGCAATGACTCCTTGCAATGACTCCTTGCAATGACTCCTTGCAATGACTCCTTGCAATGACTCCTTGCAATGACTCCTTGCAATGACTCCTTGCAATGACTCCTTGCAATGACTCCTTGCATTGACTTTCATGATGATGATTCCTTGCAATGACACCTTGTAATGACTCTCATGAGAACAACTCAAGTGAACCCAGCGGAAGAACCCTTCGCCATGCTTTCGGGAAAAATGGGCCCGGCGGCCCATTATTTTGGAATCATGTTGCAGACTCGTTTATTGGTGACAAATCGTGAATCGATGACATTTACACCTCATGCAGACAACACACCCAATGAAATGCCCGGTTTAGACCAGCATTTGCGGTCCCGGGCATGTGGCACACATGACCCACCATGTTCTCAGGACCAAAGAGGCAAGTTAGTGGTACTGTGTCTTGTGTCTTGAACACCTGGCAATAGTCTTTGCGAACAACCCAAGCCTTCCACATAGCGGCTCATTCATCAACAAAGCCAATCAAATCCTAGTTGAGCAGGAATCGCCTGTTCAAGGACGCACCACAACGACTCTGTTGTATTGGGGGCATACTTCGTCCTCTGCCGAAGAATGTTGAAACTGCCAGAACCCGGATGGGAGTGCACAAGCACGAACGGACGGGGGTGGCGCTGTGTGCCCCCAAAAAGGTGGGGTGGGAACACAAGGAACAACAGAATTCCCAACAACGAATTTATCTGGGTTGCAATCTCTTTTGCCGGGGAGAGGGGTGCGTTGGAGGGGTCATTGTATGTGCTGAAATGCGGACTGAATGTGAGTAGCCCCACGGGTGCTTGCCCTGGACCTTGTCTGCCCTGGGCCTCAAAATTACAGCTTGAACTGGTTGGGAGCTGGCTTCAAGTGCAGCTGTTAAGTTGTTGCAGCTAAGTCCCTGAAGGTGGCAAGGGTTTTCAGATTTCCTTTAAGCGACCATTTAGCTCGGTAATTTCTTTAATACTAAAATGAAGCCCAGTTGGAGCTGCATCCGCAGGGGTCTCCGCGCTCCTTACCCGGCTGTGCCTGGGGTTCATCACCCACGCCTGTGGAGGTCCCAGCAGCCTGGCAGACGTATGGATAATCTCAAAATGGACCTCCGGTCGGCATTTAAGGGGAAAAGGACGCCAACCATAGGGCGCACACGTTTTGAGAGATCTCCAGTAGCAATTTATTGTATATGCGGCGCGCTGCCTGCCTCGGCCAGTCCCAAAAGAAGCGCAAGAGCAATGCGGACTTGAGCAAGTGACCGGGGCTGGGCTGAGCGGTCTGGTCGGCTGCAGGGGGAAGTGATTGCCAGCAACTTGAACTCGAGCGGCAGGGGCTGGCCAACAAGGTGGCTGGAATGAGCTGGGCTGGGCATGGCAGGCTCAGGAGCTATAGGGGGCTGGGCTGGCCTTTGTCGCGGGGCTGGGGACTGGCGCTGCAAGCAGGCTCGAGCTGGGGCTGGAAGCTGGGGGCAGGCCGGCTTGGGGCTGAGGGCGGCAGAGCTGACTTGGAAGCCCAAATTAGAAGCACATTTTCGGCCCCCGCGAGTTTGATTTGGGGACGAAACTGATGGACCTATCAACGTCAGAACTCGGAAGGGGGAAGTTGCTTGGGTCTGGTCACCTGTTCTGCTTGGCTTCGGATTGTATTGCAGCTCTGACCCGCAATGTGGCAAAGCACGCTATGTGCGTGAAGGAGATACTGCATAGTAGGCTTACGGCTTACATGTCTCACACATGCAGCTGACGCGTACAATGTGCGACGTACGCCCGTGCACATTGCTTTTGGGACTTTCGGCCAGAAGACTTTTCCGGCAGGCCGCCGCGACAAAACAGACCTCAGGACGCGTCCATTTTGCCTCGCAAATCCTGGCGGGGGCCATGACCTGCTTAATGCCATTCTGCTGGCACCTTGGCAACCTTTGGCCGTGCTGTTCCCCAAAGGGAGACCCCTGTGCAATTCTAACAGTTTCTGAAGGTCCCCTTCTGAAACAGTAGGGTTTGTTTTTGAACAATTGATAGTTGATCAATGTCCCACCTGGCTGATGACAAGCGGTGCATCTGGAGAAATTAAGGGGCTTGAGAGGGGTGACGTCCCGTTTGGCCGCGCTACACCAGATGTTCATTGAACCCAGCATTGGGTTGCAGTTTGCTTGGTTACTGGTTTGGTGCTACGTGGTTGCGTCTTGAAGTCATGGTTTGGTATTGGCGAACCCTTCGCCGGAAAGAGTTGTCGTAGGTAGCTACTTGTGAGTCAACTCTGCGATGTTGTCCAGAATTGGAACATGCAAGCCGGAACGTTTGCTGGTTTGTAGATGAATCGCAGGTATGCAAACGCTTAAGGCAAAGATACTGAGCCCGAAAGCTGGGTGTTGCATTTTCGTTGTCCACCGCTCGCCAACCAGGGGTGCACATTTGTTGAACCCAATTGCAAAAATAGCGCAACGCTAACGTATTGTCCAGCCAAATAGACCCATCCTAGAAAACTCTGACCAACTCCACAAATCAATGGCAGGATGGTGGCAGACTTGCGTTCAACCTATGTTTCACTGCTCTAGTCCCACTTGCTGCAAGACCACGTTTGGGCTGGTTTACTGAAGGGTGTTGCTGCTGCGTTGACAGCAGGTGAATTGCGTTTTGCTTGTTCAGCGCAAGAAGCTTTGCGTAGACAGGCTCTAGAGACTCTAGATTGATTTTCCGTGCAAAGCTTGATTAGTTTGGAACATGCTACACAAACTCCGCCCGGCCTATGCACGAGCCGGAAGGCCGATTCCCTGACTTTAACATGTCATCTATGGTGTCCATGTTCGATTTGCAAATAAGCTCCTGGGCCTGAAATGTCCAGGAACTTTGAATCGCTGCTCGTTTGGAGCGTGCTTTACGGCCACTTGGCGGATTCAAAGGGGCATTTATGCACAAGGCTCACTTGGCATAGCTTGATAACAGGCGCCAGCACAACAGATTGTGATGATGATTTGCGTATCAGGCTGCTGGATTTGGGCTCCATTCATGATCCATGTTTTCTTGCAGCACATGTTTGGCCTAGTGGCAGTTGCTGGGGTGGAGTGTCTCACTCGCTGAGTTTCAGAACTTTATGGTTCTTGGCAAGACCATTTTAGCGATCTAAAATCTTCAGACTTTGTTTGGCCAGTCCACTCAGAAAGAAAAAAGGTGTGGATCATGCTGGCAGTCATCCCGCCCAGGTTTCAGCATTGGCCCCGTGATCGCCCTGATCAGCGTGGTGCTGAGTGAGTTGTTCGGTACTCAGGCATCCGCGCTCCCGAAAAGGATATACCCCGTTGATCAGTGGCACCAGTTGTCCCTTTGATCGTCAAGTTCGCCAAGTGCTGTCTCTGGAGATTCCTCCAGGACAGTGTAGCGCAAGGGGAAGTTTGGACCACTTCCTGGTGCAAAGCAATCTCACGTTGGTGTGCCTTGTGCGTGAAGTGCTTGCAACGTGTCATCTCAGGAAGCAATTTCTATGTCAAGCATGGGTATCATGTTTGAATGGGGACCCTTTGGTGGACATCGTTTACGTGGGGATTTATGTCCACCTGCTCATTTGTAAGAGCATACACATGGACAAGATAGCCTGAGCATGCAAAGGGTGTCTTCTTTGCGCTTGCTGAGATGTCCGCTGCCACACCTTCAGAGTTCTTCTGCATGCGACATGCGTTTGATCACAATCAGCAGGCTGAAGATTGCAAGTGATATTCGTTGGCTTCAAAATGAGGCTCGCATCCGTTTGCTCGACCACAAGACGGGCTCATCATGTGGGACACGCCCATTTGGGGAATCTGCAACAGTGACAGTGACACATCAAGCAACTGAAAAAATGGCATTAAAAAATTATATAATCAGAAAGCAGCACTTGACATGACAGAGTGCAGCGAGCTGCTCAAAGAATGAATCTGGTTGTTTAAGGCAATTTCATATAATACTTCCACAACGGCTGTTTGTTGCCGTGAACAAGACTGGGCTGGAACCTCGAGGCTAGGTGGGATTGGTGACTCGATGCTCGGATTGCAGGCGTTGGCCCTGTACCACGGCATCTCGCGCGTCGGTGTGGGCACTGGCAACATGCTGGGGGTGCCTGTGATAGGCGGGTGAAGCGGCCTGTTCCGGGAAGGTCTCAGGCTAGCGTCTAGAGGTGTGTGTGTGTGTGTGTGTGTGTGCGTGTACTTCAACCGAAGTCCCCCGCCAAAAGACCCACTTACTCCGTTTTGGGGGCGGTCCAAATTTGCTTTGGAAACCAATGTGGCAGGTTCATTTGAGCTAAACTCTTGAATCAAGTGGAGATTGCAAGCCCCAACTCTTTGAAGTCAACAGAATTACCGCCGGGTCACCTCCAAACCACAACTTAGGGCTCACCTGATTGAACACGTATTACCGGGGTTCAATTTGTATGGCTGTTGGCCAGAGCATTTTAGCGCCTATGGTATGCCGCATACACACACACAGACACACAGACACACAGACACACAGACACACAGACACACAGACACACAGACACACAGACACACAGACACACAGACACACACACACAACACACACACACACACCAATGCGAGTGCTCTTTGAACGCATATTGGGAGGTAAGAAGGCAAACGTGTCATGTGCAGTTCCCCGGTTTGTACGTCAGTACCCGTTTGTCATTGCCGTTTGTTTGGGGACCATGGTCAAATCTTAAAAAGGATGTGCCTGACTCAGCAACTTTGACCACAGAGCAGGCCAGACGCATGTCTCTGGCCGCCCAAAGCCTCTGAACGTTTGAAACAGATTATTTCAACACGGCTTGCTGTATCCTTCTGCCTGCGAATGTGCCTTGGCCATTGTCAAGTTAGTCTCCGCATGTTGCTGTCAGATATGCAATGCTTCGGTTTGCTACAGGTTGTACGTTAGGGACGCAAATGTTCCCAGACAAGGTCATGCTACTTTGAGTCTAAGCAGACTTAGATTTCCCAGACTAAATGGGCCGACAGTAATGTGGACACTCTTTTCAAAGGGTGCTTTTATTAGCGTCCAATTCAGGTGGAAAAGACGGCAAGGCCAGCCTCGCTCGCCAATTGATGGTGCAAAGGCTTTAAGACATGAGCGACAGTCCGTTGTCGACAAGGCAGGCTTCCTCATATCAATCATTCCAGGGCCAAGTTGAGCAGTACCAAATGAACTGCTGACTGAGGATGGGATGTCTTTGTGAAATCCATGGATGAATGCTTCCAACTTGAGGTACATGTCAAGGACCCCTGTATAATAGATTTTGAACATCTTTGGCGCCAAGGTGAAGCAAGTTTCCGGGAGTGATGTGAAAGGGTGGCATGTGGCTATGGGGAACCATCTCACCAGTGGTTGGTGGACATGCCTCCCCACTTGAATAAAGTCCGCCAAAGTGTCCCCTCATTGAGATTCCGAACAATATGTGTCTTTCTCAATCCACTAAATGCCGTTTACGGCACCCTGTGTTTGAGATGAGAGGCCTGCTGACGGAGTCGCAGGGCTACGTCTTCGCACTGGTCCTTTCCGGCGGCTTGGCCGAAGTCTAAGCCCCGGTGCCACGGGTATCAGAGAAGGTTATCCAACGTTCTACCGGGAATGAATCACGTTTAGCAACGTCCTGTGGAAATATGACCATCCGTGGAGCCCTCCTTTCAAGCAAGCCTGAGAAGCATGGTAAATTATGAATGCTCAAGTTAGGTGTTTGCATGCTTGAAGGGAAGAGATGTCGCAGGCTGCGTGGTGATTGCTGGCACCGGCTTCCTTGTCATTTTGGAGGTGCTTCACAGACGGAAGCTGAGGAGAGATGCACAGGATGCTTGCCAAGAGAAATTGGGCACATCTCATGTCCGGTGGATTTGCAAGCGCATTTGAAGATGTTTGGACATTTCAAGAGCCAGACATGAAAGATGAAATGGAATACACAAATTGGTCTAGCAGTTGAAGCACATCTTGGCTTGGGGTGAGGAATGGCTGTCAAAACTTGAGGGATTCTGTCGGCCATTCCAAGGGTTCCTACGACTGTGGACCATGGCACATGTTCCACTTTGTTGGGTAAAGGTTGAATTGTGGCCTGATGTTTCGTCTAAGGACGCGGAAGTGTCAATCTGAGCTTAACTTCGTCCTGAAGCGCCAGGGTTTCTGCTCAGACTACGACTTGCATTTTCCTGCCCAAGGTCAAACTTCCCCCCTATGAGGAGGCAGGCCATGTATGTGTCGACGTTTGTATGCAACAAGCGTCGCACATGATGTTTCGACCACAAGCAACAACCATCTTCCTTTCTTGGGCGGAAGCTTTTCTACCACGGAGACATTTGAATTCAAGCAGATGTTGCAACAATGGCACATCTGGCTGGCTCAAGGCTTTGCAAGTAAGCAACATCGCACAGCAAGCTCAACGGCTCGCGTGCATGCTGCTCTGATCAGACACTTCTTGAGTGTTTGCCCTTTATTGACCTCTCCAGACGCGTCAGTCGCGGGACAGGCAAAAAACCAACGCGGCCGTCAGTTGTCAGTCGGCTAACCTCCCCCCTTCCCCCTGTGGCACATATGTGTTCCATGTAAGTGGGCCTTCGAAGTGAATGCAAGGGCTCGGAATAGGTCGGATTGCTTGACTTGACGAGTTGGGCGTGCTCTTGAGTGATTACTTGGCTTTGCCAGCACCGATATATCAAATGGGATGGTATGAAAGTTGTTGGCAGAAGCATCATTGCCTCATGTGCCCTCAGTGTAGCCAAGAAATGCTGCCTAATCTGTTTGATTTCACTGGTCCTTCCTTCTCGATACGAGTCATGAATGGGACTAGATCTCTGGGTGGTGTTCCCAGACAAAATCGTATTCGAGCCGCAATCAGTGTAACCACGATTTGCCCAGGTTCACGTCACAGTAACCGCCCATGCAGAATTGTTATGCTGGATAGTCAATCCGAGGTCTTGATTGCGGAACCTGCCAGCTGTGCCTTCTGGCTATGCTGATTGTCCTTGGCATGGTGCGCATGGAACTGGAAGGGGAGACTGGAGACGGCGACGTGTGAGAACGCCTGCTAGCCTTAGAATCATGAGAAACACTGACAGACAGAGGCTGGGGGCAGAGTATTAACACGTGCAACATGGCGGTAAGCATTGGCAATGACACCAGAGATCACCGGAGATCATCAAATGCAATGAGTGAATCCAGTCGCAAAATATGTCACTGATTAAACACTTGAGCAACGGTAGAGCAAAGCAGAGCAGGCAAGCACACGCCCAAAGGGCAAGCAAGAATACTTTAAGAAGAAGACGACGCAAAAAACGGAACAACCAAATCGGACAAATAGCAACAGGCAAAGCAACACAATGAGCAGCAGGCAGGCGAAGCTGTAAGGGGACTGGGGTGAGAGAACAGCAAACACATCCATAGCATGTGCTCCCCAAGCGCAACGTGATTGGACAAACCCAAACACGGCAGAGCGACATATTAACAACCCATTGTACATTGCTAAAAGAGAGAGAGAGAGAGAGAGAAGCACAGTCATAAACATGAGAAACGTTAACACTGGCCGACAAGGCAAAGGGAGGCAGTGGTGTGAAATTAGCATTCATCATGTATTTGCTCCCGTTTTATTGTACGCGTTGCGGCTTTATTGGGTCTTCATGTTTTGTCATTTCTTTTGAGTTGCTTTGTGTCATGGTGCTGTATCTTCGCCTGTATTGTTCATCGCTAAAGTTGCTAAAATATTATGTTTGCTTGCCCGGACGCTGCATAGCATTTCGTGATTAGTACATTTGGTTTGCTCATCTCACCTCGTGTTCGGTGGATTCCGGCAGGGTTCCGGGAGGTTCCAGGCAGGTTGCGGGCCGGCTCCCAGGGTTTAACCGATGCTGCCTGAGATACATTGTTGGTGTATTTTCTGCGCGTAGCCTTCCGTTGCTGCCCGACAAAAGAAGCTTTGCAGTGTTTGGAAGGGGTTCGGTCCCAATGGCCCTTTCTGAGTTCCTTGGCGTTGGAGGGCGGGCCAGTGAGACGGCTATTGTGCGCGAGGTCTCAACCGATGAGCTTCGGGCAGAGGAGTGGATGGTTCGCGGATCGTTCCACTGGTTGATGTTCCATGAGTGTCTCCACCGAAAGCCGTCCTTTGCCTTCCGTTTCTCGAATTGTGTGAGTGTTTTGTCAAGATTTCAAACGCCGACCTTGAACTTCCTGATTATCTCTGGTTCCTGAATGGTCCAGTTGCAACCAAGGTGGCTGCTCATGGTGTTCACAATATACCTGTGGGCAGAGTATGAACTGAGAAGGAGGAAGCGTTCTTGGCACACTCCTCGATATAAAGCGTTGTTAGAGGGCTTTGTGCCAGAAATCTCAGCTACGCATCACAGATGAATCTATCAAATGCATGCAAAGTTGATACAGGACGTGCTTGGTGTTCCTTTGAGTGTTTGTGCGTGTGTGTGTGTGTGTGCTTTTGAGCATATTCAGCCAATGTGGATCGGCTTCTTCGAGGATGCTGGGGTAGTGAAATTGCAGTTGCACGCTCAAGGCGTGTCCATGAAGCTTTACTTTACAGCCATCACCAAAGTCGGTCACGCATGCTGACAATGCCCGATCTTACATATTGTAAGACTCTTGCAGACCCTCATAAGCCTTCGCTTTGGCCCGTTCGGCAAGCATCAGTTGTGAGGCTGGCGGGTCAAAAAGAAGGCGTGTGACTAACATGTCACTCAAGCTATGTTTGGTTTCATACATCGAACTGCGCTGCTCATGTCATTTATTTATGCATGTGTGCAGGTCATTTGTTGCAAGATCAGCTGTTTTGCATGTGAGCTAATATGTCATGTGTACTTGTTGTTGCGTTGTGTGTACGTTGTATTGTTTTCTTGTCTTTGTCTTGTTTGCCGCGTTTTTCTATTGCCATTTTGCAATGCGGTCGTTTGGGGGGTTTCAACTCATTGCTCTTCAGCTGATATTGAACATGAATGTTTATAGGGAAGCCATAATTGAAAGGTCACAGCCATGCTACCCAATCATGGGCATTAAGATGCACACCCACATCTAAAAAACGTGTACATAGATGTGCTCTTAGTATATGCCTTATATATGCCTTCCAGGCCCGGCGCCTTCGCCTGGACCTCGAACGGGAGCGCTCCGAGGCGGAGATGCAGCGCGCCCAGGCGGAGCGAATGGAGCGTTCGTGGTGGGACATGCACGGTTTGGTTTGCGGAACTGAACCATACTGAACCCCTCCCATTTGATAAACGGAATTCCAAAGAAAGCGGGGAAGTGTAGAAAATGAGGGCATGAACATGAGAGGGTCAAGAGGCAAGCACTGACACCATGGGAATATGCCGTGACGGAAGATTCAAATATCGGGAACGTAAACCGTTGGGACCAGGGGCCATGACCTTTTGGTGGGGGCACGTGTGGAGGGTCTTTCTGCCAAAATTTGCCGCCGGGCTGGTCCTGATGAGACCTCTGAGTGATTTTGAAATTTACAAATCAACGGCTCGGAGAAGGCCCTGAGTCCCTAAGTGTTGACCGTGAGCGATCTGTGGGGGGGGGGAATGGGTCGAGCCACTCTGACCGACAGGCTGTACCATCGGGGAATCCTAGGTTTGCGCTTCATAGAAATCCCGAAGATTATGTTCGCAGTTCAGGACCACATCAAGGACGCTGGACATATCTGGAAATACTGAAAGCTTTTACCCTGCTACTGCTACCAGGCAGCAGTTGTGTCCTGTCCCATGCCTTTTAGCGAACCCAGCTGGCGTCTTCTATGAATCATTGAGTAGTTCCAAAGAACTATCACCGCAAGAAGAAGGCCACAACTCATTTCGTGATGCGCTTGTTTTTCAGGCCCTATCGTCAACCCTGTTCACCAGGGCTATATGTTATATTTGTCGTGTCTAACGAGGCTGACGCGGGCCTGCATTTTCCTGCTATGATGTGACCCTTTTTTCGCGCTATTCCAAGAACACATACAGTAAGTGTGACACTCGAATTTGTCAGGTGTTTGGGCGATGCATCTGATCACAGAGGTTCTTTTTTCAGGTGTGTGCAATTGAAAGATGATAATTTCAGAACGTTGCAGTTCAGAGAACAGTGTGGATGCCCAAACGTGTTCATTCAAAGAACAAGGGTGTCCAAAAGTGTGTGTGTGTGAGTGTGTGTGTGTGTGTGCGGCCAAGGGTGTGTGTCGCCTTTTTGTTTTGGTGTGTGTGTGCGGTGTCCAAGGATGTTTGTCCAAGGGTGTGTCCGCGGGTGTTCCAGGGTTGAGAGTTTCGAACAAGGGCAAGCTGGCCAGGTGGACAAGTTGCTGGAGGAGAAGGCTGCCACTCACGGCCTTTCATGTTTTCGTTGGGCTCAGGAGGGCGCGGCGTTCTTTGGAGCCCTTTGAAGGGGCTGCGTCACAAGGAAGCTCAAGGGAAGCCGTTTATTTCTTAAGGGTTCCCAAGTTTTCACACAAACCCAGCATGTGTGTTATAGTCAGGGCTTTTGTGTTACTGCATGTGGCGGTGCGGGGTGGTGGGGACAGTCATCAAGCCCTTCATAGCCCTTAATAGGGACTCTAGACAATGGTTGTCAGGGTTTGAATCAAGGAGGCAATGCCAACGATAATGGCCGCATTTTGATCATATCATATGTGATATCCGATAGATGTGTCAGTTGCGCAAGAGTTCTGTATACACCCTTACATCCAGGGTTTCACACAGCTGCTACTTGTCCGATATGCAAAGCTGGGTCATGACAGAACGCCATAGATCATATTTTGTGGCGCGCTGGACTGTGTATCAATTTACTGGACAGCTTTTACTGGATTGTGTGTGTATGAAGGATACACAATCGAGACAAGTTTCGCTGCACGATCATTGTTAGTTAATTTGACCGAAATTGGCGAGCCTGAAGCTGGGATGTGCAAAGTTGGCGTGTGATGACTTAGGCCCACCAGCCGCCTTGTGCGTTGCAAGCAAATTTTGCCGCCAGCAATCTGATGTTTGGCTGATTTCGGGGATCCGCTTGCACAAAGCAACGCCAGTCTCAGGGTTTGCGAATCGAAATGATATTGCCCAAGAGAGGTCCTGCCTTGCGCCGGGGGTTTAGAGAGTCTCTTGGCACATCTTGGCACCTCAGGATGTAGC